TACATATAAAGCATGACCCTTGCTCTCAGTGAGCTTGCAGTCCAGACAATATAGGACACGGGTTGCATAAGGACTGACGTTCTAGTTCTGGGGATGGAATTGGAAGCAGGGTCTTTTTTTCTCTAAATTGGAGTGGATCTTTACGCAGCCCCACGAGGTGCAGGTAAAACACCAATAAGCTTCAATGCCATCTCCAGCCCTTCTGGGAAGAGCAAAGCTTGTTGTCCAAGGAAAGGAAGAAGGACTAGTTCTGACAGCCTGCAGTCTCCGGGTGGTACCCAGTACACCACCCAGGGCACATCCTATTGCCTTGGGCTACCCTGCAGAGAAAGTCAGAGGGCCCTCTGTTTACTGCAGTCAGTGATGGAGTCCTGACCGTATCAAGAGAGGCCAGCTTTCAGGGCCTGGGCTGTGCTGCCACCATAGCCCACTAGTCCTATAAAAATACATGGCTGAAAGTCCCACGCTTACATTTCAAACATAATATTGGGGCCTAAATTTAAGCTGCTATTTAGCAATCGAGTTTCATCAGCCAGCTTTTTGTCTCAATACATTTGGAGAACAGTCTGATGACTAAAGAAAGCAAATCTGAAGTCTCGTAACATGGTGTTTTAGGGAAGCTCCTGAAGGAGACAATCCAGGGACCGCTGCCAAGACACAGCCGGGTCAGAAAAACCATGCGGTGCAAGGCAGAGTGGAATAAAGGCTAAAGAGAATTATAAGGTATGCGTTTGGGGAACACAGAGAGAGAAACGAGGAAGGTTGATTCTGGAACAATGAGAAGAGGCTTCATAAAGAGGGGAGCAGCTTTTGAGGTGGGTTCTGAAGGGTGGGTGGGATATTCACAGGCAAGTAATGGAGAAACATGATTCTTGCACTCGGGAACAGCCAGAGATGGAATAAAATGATACTAGGAGGAGGCAATTAGCCAAATCCGGACTGTAGGTCACTCTGCAGGAAATTTACCCTGTGTCTTCAGCGAGTCAAGGGTATGGAAAGAGGTGGTAGTGGAGTGAGGATTCATCTAGATTTAAAAAGACCTACTGCACCTCATTATAGCAGAATTCTCTGCCTTCCCTTCTTTCTTCTGCCTCCCCCTTCCTCCCTCCTCCCTTCATCCCCTCGTTCATGTATTTGACAAATATTCATTCAGCACTCACTATGCGGCAGGCACTGGGTTAGTCAATCAACTCTGTGGATCCTACCCTCATGATGTCTCTCCAGTTGGTCCTTTCAGTTCCTCTCCCGCCAATCTTCTATCAATACCTTTTCCACAACCTGTAAAGCTAAGGTGAAAATTGATTTGGAATCAACAAATCCCACAGAGCCTGGACAGAGGCCATCTGCCCAGGGGAGGGCAGTTGGCGTGGGACTTCACGGAAAGGGCTCCATAGAAGAGAGCTCACAGACAAAAATCATAAGACATGTGGGGAAGTCACATGGCAAGAAAGACAAATAGAATGTTATACACCCCAGAGTAATATAAGCCCCTTTTTGAGAGAAATAGGGAACAAAAAAATTAAGTCTCTTTAAGAAAGGAAAATATTTTAATTTTCGTGAATTGTGAAAGACAATTCCTGTCCTGAGAGGAAAGGAAAGTCCCTGAAGACTTTTTTTTTTTTTTTTTTTTTTGCGGTACGCGGGCCTCTCACTGCTGTGGCCTCTCCCATTGCGGAGCACAGGTTCCGGACGCGCAGGCTCAGTGGCCACAGCTCACGGGCCCAGCCGCCCCGTGGCACGTGGGACCCTCCCGGACCGGGGCACGAACCCGTGTCCCCCACATCGGCAGGTGGACTCTCAACCACTGCGCCAACAGGGAAGCCCTTTTGCCTATTTTTAAATCAGGATGTTTGTTGTTTTATTGTTGAGTTATAAGAGTTTTTTATATATTGTTGATACAAGTCCTTTATCAGATGTGTTTAAAATTTTTTCTCTCAAAAAAAGGGAACTGTGAGCAGATGCTCTTGCACCTAAATGTACATTTGTTTAATTGGGCATCATATGCAAATAATACCTTTGTTGAAAAGAGAAGGTGTTGCCACCAGTACATATTTGCTAAATGAGAGGGTTGAGACAAAGTCTCAGGTGAGTGAGACTGTGATCTCTGGTGATAATTGTTTTTGGCTGTTTCCCAGCCATTCAGTGTAAAGCCATCAGAACTCTCTTGTTATCAGACTGTTTTATGATAAAAGCTTCTTTTGACCCACGTGAAATGTAAACCTGTATTGTTCATTTGGATGTCAATAATCATGAAACAGATTTTAGAGAAGTTTAAAAAGTCACAAAATACAGGTAAGAGATAGTAAATAGAAAAAAATGGTACTTGTTAATGACTGCAAATGTAAATAAACTTAAAACAAGTTATGTTTTCTCCTTTCTCTACTAAAAGCTGTTTCTGTTTCTACTAATACTTTAGGAAGTACATTATAATTTCTGGTATTTGAAACAGTAGCATGGTAAAGATAAGGCTTTCAACAATCTCAAAACCTAAACACAACAGGAAGCTTTGTTTATGTTTCAACCCCAATAAATCAAAACAAAGATAACAAAATAAATCAAAATCAAACTGATTGCTATCTGAGTAGCAATCAGTAATGGGATATGTACAAACACAGCTGCCGAACACCGCAATGTTAAACCTTATTAGTCATCCAGTAGCCTTATTATCTGTGTTAATATTAACATTTTTACTTTAGACTTATTTTGTGTGGAAGGATAAAACAAGTAGTTATATTATTTGATTTTAAGTTATAAATAAAGCTATGACAGCAAATTGTGAAAGAAAAGGAGTTAAAATTAAAGTTAGGAAGAGAAGCTAAAAGTTTTAGCAGGTATGTCACAGAGCAAATGTAAAACTAAACCTTAAAAGTGTTCATGTGAACTCATGTATACAAAGGAGACCTTTCCTAACTCTGCCCTTAAATAGCCCAGCTACAGTTATCCCAATACTACACTCAACACAGATAATCTATTCTCCATCCTTATGCCTAATTTTCATATGCTAGTATAGTATATTCCTTCGTGTTCTGGTCAACTACATAACAGACCACCCTAAAACTTAGTGGCTTAAAGCAACAATCTATTGATACTATTATCTCTCACATTTCTGGAGGTTGACAGGTTCGGCTGAGTTGTTCTGACTTTGGGTCTTATAGGATGCAGTCAGGTGTGGCCTGTGGCTGAAGTATATATATCTTTGTTTTATATATATATATATATATATATATATATATTTTTTTTTTTTAATTTGTCTGTGCCACGAGGCTTGCAGGATCTCAGTTCCCCCTCCAGGGATTGAACCCGGCCACAGCAGTGAAAGCGCTGAGTCCTAACAACTAGACCACCAGGGAACTCCGTGAAGTCATCATCTTTAAATATCTGACATCCGATGGGGAGTCTGGAACAGTGGGGAGCTGGTTGGGCATCTCTCTCGCCATACGGCTAGCTTGAGCTTCCTTACAGTATGGTGGCCTTAGGGTAACTGAACTTCTCATGTGGTAGCTGGCTTCACCCAGAGCGAGCATTCCAAGGCACCCAGGCAGAAGCTGCAAAAGTTCTTATGACAATCTTGGAAGTCCTACAGTGTCGCTTCTGCTGTAGTCTATTGGTTAAAGCAGTCACAGGTCAGCTCAGATTCCAGGAGGTGGGAGAATAGTCTCCACCTCTCAATGTACCCTGCATATACAAAGAGAGAAGAAATGGATGGTTTCACAAAGCATGTTTCTACCATATGAATTAGTTCATGTGCAATTAAAGAATGATGTCAGTCTAACCTAGAAGTCAAGTTTGATCATATCAGATTTTTTCTAGGCAAGGGGAGCCAGAAGAGGAGGAGTAGAATTGGAACCTTCAGCAGGAAAGAAAACAATCCCACAATTCAGTGCTGTACTGGGAGTAGGAATCCTTTAGCTGTGTTTTGTGAACATTGAAAATGAGCACCTGCATCGGGCTCTCTGGGGAGGCCCAGAGAGGTGCACCCCAGCCTTGTGCCACTTTTGGCTCCTGTGCCTGGGAAGTTCCTGGCTTGGAGTTGGTTTGGGCTGGATTGTCCCAGCACCTCCACCCCCACCCCCAAGCTCTGCTCTAACTAAACTGTGGCCAGCATTGCCACTCAATGTTTATGTGAATTTTTAATGTCTACTGTTGTGGCCTCTAGGCATGTCTAGCTGCCTGCCTGGGTGGTCCAAGGTGATTTCCAAGGTACCAGTGATTGTTTTTCTTAGTCCTTTGGTTACAAGGTTGCCTATTTTGAGTGGTCTCCCCAACTTTATTATTTTTAAATTTATTTATTTTATTTAATTTTGGCTGTGTTGGGTCTTCATTGCTGTGCACGGGCTTTCTCTAGTTGCGATGAACAGGGGCTACTCTGTTGCAGTGCGCAGGCTTCTTATTGCGGTGGCTTCTCTTGTGGCGGAGCACGGGCTCTAGGCACGCGGGCTTCAGTAGTTGTGGCTTGTGGGCTCTAGAGTGCAGGCTCAGTAGTTGTGGCTCACGGGCTTAGTTGATCCACGGCATGTGGGATCTTCCCGGACCAGGGCTCGAACCCGTGTCCCCTACATTGGCAGGCGGATTCTTAACCACTGCACCACCAGGGAAGCCCTCCCCAACTTTATTTATCCCATAAGCCCCATGACTTTTAATGTGCCATTTTGTAGAATGTGAGGTTTTTCAGTAATGCACATTTCACCTTATAGCAGACAAACCAGAACTATTTATTCTCCACTAAATGAAGGCAGGTCTCCTTGGAGAGAAGCTAATTTCATTCTTGGGGTAATAGTCTAGGCTGACTTGGAACATTTATAGCCAGAAAGTAATGATGCTTTAGAAATTCAGAAGAAGGACACAGAAACCAGCTTAAAGGGGGATGCATTGACCAAATTGCAACAATTTGAGTATCAAAAAATAAAAATAAAACAAAAAAATTATGGTAATTACAACATATTGAGTCATGAAAAGCCAGAGTCAATAACGATATTCAAAGAAAAATAATGAGAATTTTCTTTTCAAGTAACGTGTTATATTTATTCAAAGGAGCAAAGATGTTATTATGTTTAAGCGTACGAATTGCCTCAGGATTGCAGATACACAGACACACAAAGGCAGACGAAATACTCGTCGGCAAAAGACTGAAAAGATTTCTAGCCCAGGTTCGGGATGTCCTTGTTCATTCTGGCAACCGAAGTACATTTGTTATATGTTAAATTATAGAGTCCACAGAGCCTTAAAACTCATTAACACTTTCATTGCCCACATCACCTAGAATTTTCAGATAGCAGTAGAACATTTGAAAAATATAAACTGGCTGAAGTTTATGCAGAAACCATGTTCAGATAGCCACAGTTCTTGCCCTCAAGTTCTCATGAATATAAGATTTTTCAGGCGACAGAAAGATGGCACTCTCTCCCCTTTACTTATTAGTGGATAGGCTCGTGAGCCCTCCTGCTGTTAAGTCTGTGGCCTGCCACTTACTTTATTTGATGACATAGTAATCTAGTATAAAGCACTAGTGAAATTCACAGGCTATAGGAACCCCTTCTTCCCCTCTCACCTGCATCTCCCTTGGGTCTGAAGGTACTTCAAAGAAAACTTGTAGCTTTGAGTTGAATGGATTTTGTCTTTCAAATAGACTGGAAATATGGCGATATCTCTTAGCTTGCATTTATTTGCCATTTGGTGGTTCTAGCGGTTATTCCTGGTTGTTACTCCCTGGATTTTCTCCTTTGCCCTGCATGGCCACTGAAAAGAACTGGATGAATCTTTCCTGAGGAGTGAGGGAGAGGCCTGAGGCCTTACACATTGAACCATTCTAGAGGGTTAGGGGAAAATTTTGTCAACATGAACCAAAACTGACTTTATTGAACCTGAAGGGTAGAAGATAACATTAAAAAGACAATTAAATGTGGCACTAGTTGCTCTTCAAAAAAGAAAAGATTTTAATGTTTCATACGTTGGGTTTGCAGCCATTAGTCTAAGTTGTATTTAATAGTTTTAGCAACATGTAAAGGTAAATTATGCCAGGGATTTTTTGAATGTTTCTTAGATGAAAATATGCTATTATGGAATTGTTAGGCTGATAAAAAATTGAGTTACTCTGCTAAAGAAATGCAAAAAGACTTATCTTAATGAAAAGTGTGATGTTTCAAAGGTCATTTGTGTAAAAATAGAACTAGAGACATAATCCAAATAAGTGAAACTACAACAGAGGGGGAAATTGGGGTAAAGGAGATCTATGGAACTTAGGTAGTTTAAAGTCTGAGTCAATTTGGGGGCAGACCCCAAAGGTGAGACATTTTGGAAATCTGGAAGTAGCAGGCCTCAAATCTCACTCCCATCAAGCCGTGTTAGCCAAGCCTACAGCAAGGCGTAGTGAGAGGGGTTCTAAAGTTTTGTTTTTACCAGTGCTTGCTGAGACACAGAGCTACTAAACTGCAATGCCTGTGATGTTTATGCCACATTACCAGAAGCTTTTGTTTTGGAAGTATGAACAAAAACAAACAAAAATAGTCAAAACTGTATATACTTTTTTCTCAGTGCTGCTGAAATAGTCATTTTTCACTGTATAAAGTAACTGCTAACTCTGAGATGATATTTCGGCTTCGTAGACTCTATGCGGGCACTGAACTTCACCCAGAAGTTGGATGTTGGCCCATAGAAGAGTCTCTAGTAGATCTCAATCAAACCACGTGAAACTTTGCTTTCTCCAGAATGCACAGCAGTGCAGTGGGGGCCGAAGGAAGGAAGGAAGTGGTCTGTTCTACTTGGGAGGAATAAGCCAAGAAAGGCTCATGGAGGAGGTGACCTTAAACAGTGTCTCGAAAACAGCAGAGATATTTGCCAGGCAGATGAGGCAGGGCTTAGCAGAGAGGCCAGATGTGCCCCCAGATGTGGGGAGCAGGTGGGCAAGGCGTGGTGGGGTGACATAGTCTGGTGTGTCTGTAACTGTGGCTTTCAGGAAGGAGGTAGGGCACAGAGAGATAAATGCCACATGGAAAGTTGAATGGAAAGCTGGGCCGGGTCACCGACATCCTTGTGTATCACACTAAAGAGTTTGTTTTCATTCATTTATTGAATAAATCCATCTATCGAGAACCTAATAAATGCCAGGCCTTTAGGAGACAAGACACATTTTTGTTGTTGTTGCTCTCACAGAAGTAGGGGTACAGAAGGGACAGACAGACATTAGATCAATAATCACACAAGCAATTATTTAACCTTGCTTGGATAAGCTCTCCTCTGAGAAGGACAATGCCTGTGTAAGGAAAGAGTTTGCAACAGGGAAGTCTAACTTAGTCTAGGGGGTCTGGGAAGGTTTCCGTGAGGAAGTGACAGTTAAGGCTGGGACCCAGGTGGGATCTACTGAGCTAAAGGGGGGCTTGTTGGGTGGGGTTGTGAAGAGCATTTCAGGCAGATGTGAAGTGGGCAAAGGTCTGGAGACAGGGAGTTACGCGGTGTCTAGAAAAACAGAAAAGCCTGCAGCCATGTAGACCCTACTCAGGGGAGCCACGTGACCATACTTGGGTTTTAGGAACCACCCCCCTGGCTGTAGCTTGGGGCTAATAAAGGCACGTAGGACTGGAGGTAAAGAAACCAGTTGGTGTGTTGTCGTCACAGATCTGGGGGGAGTGTCGAGGTGAGAGCTGAAGCTGGGGCTGTGTGGACCGAGAGGATGGAATGGACTTGACAGATGTTGAGGGGCCAGAAGTGGCTGCACTCAGTGGCCAATAATTAGATGTGGGCAGTGAAGAGAGGAAGGCTCCTGGGTTTCTGGATGGAGCAGATAGTGAAATGGAACTCGGGGGATCAGACTGGGTAGATGGAGAGGATTAGGGGTTGCTGCTGAGTTGCACTGTAGGCATAGGCATTGCTTGGTTAGAAGTGCCCACGGGGATATCCAACAGGGAGCTGGAGGTGAGTGTAAAGCTCCAGAAAGATCTCAGAGCTGGAGATACGGAAGCAGGAAACAGCAGCAATTAGGTGATGGTGGAAAAGCCATGACAAGTGACACCTCACATGGGGAAAGGACGTTGAGTGAGAAGACAAGGAGGTCCGGGACCAAACCCTGGGAAACGTAGATATTTACCAGGCAAACACAGAAAGAGGAGGTAGAAGGAACCTGAGAGTGACCAGAATCGTAGAAGAATCAAAAGCAAGTACGTGCTGTATGGTCCCTGTTTGCCCAAATCTCTTCTCCAAATTGACTTTCTCCCCCTCTCTGTCCTGCTCTGTGGCCTGGAAGGCTGACCGCTGTGGACTGCCCTCTGGCTTGCAGAGGTCAGCCCCTGGGAGGCTGGAGGGTGAAGAGAGAGTTCAGGTGGTGATTCTCGTGGCTTCCTCCTACTGGACAATGGATTCCTGGTGGCTGTGTTCCTCTACCAGAGGCCACAGCTCCTGCTGTGCACCCGTAGCTGCAATTCCCCTTGTCTCTTCAGGCCCAAGTGTGGGAAAGGCTTCCCCCTGTTTATTACTAGCCTTTAGGTCCTTCACCTTCCCTTACTAATTTCCCTTCATCCTGTCCGGTTCTTTCCAAATGGTTCTTTCACTAAACTCTCTCTAGTCATCCCTGTTTCTTGCCGTCTGGGTCCTGCTGGGATCCTCACCTTTACAGAGTTGTGTCACAAAACTACGGAGAAAGAATGTCAAGTTGGGAGTGGCCGACAGTGTCCAAAGCTGCAGAGGTTTTACCTGATGAGACCGAAGAGTCCATGCATGTCCCATGGGAGGTTGTTGGTGACCTCTACTGGCATGGGTTAAAGGAACGGTGAGCTGAAACCTGACCACGGTGTGCTGGTGTGTCAACAGACAGTTGCTGACTATTCCTTGGAGAAGCCTAGCTATAAAGGAGAAAAGAAGGTGGTATTCTGAGGGAGCAGCAGGGTGGTGTTTCCGTTCTTCAATGTGAATGTTGAAGGGACTTGAACATGCTTATAGACGGCCAACAACCATCAGGTTTCTCTGGGTCTGCATTTGAGTATAAAAATTAGAATCATCTTTTCCTAACTGCAACATCATCAGTGTTAAGTTTTAATGTAAAATTTATTAATTGGAACCTTTGATGTTCAAATATCTCAGTGCTTTCCTACCTAAATGATCTATGTCTTGTGAATGGTAGTTTTATATTAGAATTAACTAAACATAGGGAAGAATTTAGAGAATCAAATTCACTGATTCGGCTCTGAATGTTGAACCCAGTCTCTGTCACTGAAGTGCTCCCGTGTTCTTAGTGAACTGGTTTCATTTGGAAGCATCTGTAATAGTGGTACCTGGCTCTTGACACCATCTTCAAAATACCCCTCCCACCACCCAACCCCCTTTCACACTGAAGATCTGGTTCGTCACCAGAGGAGTGTAATAACTGTGTTTGGCTTATAACCTTTCTGGAATCACTGTCCTCACGAGGACACACGAACCCCTCATCAGTGCCCATTCATGTTGTCCTCTTCAGAAACTTGTCGTGAGGGTCTTAAGTTTTTCCCCACAGCGATCTTGGAAGGAATATTGCTTTGAGCTGTGTCTACTCCCTGAACGTAAGGTTCATATTTACAAATGTCTGCATCTCCTTCACCACAGGCACTCTCATCAGGATCTGAGGGGACTTCAGCAGAACATGTTGGCGTTTGTGGTAAAACATCTACATTTGAAAACTCCAAGTCTCTGAGTGAGCATTGCCACTCTGCTGCCTTGGATTGAAGAGCTGTGACATAGTCGTCAATGGACATGCCTGGGATCTCATCACTGCAAGGACTGTTGCCCGGTGACCTGGGCAAGGTCAACGGATCCTCAACTTTATTGGTGTTAGAGCCACTTTCCGGATGAGTCGCGTCCAAACCGTAGTCTGGATCAGAAGTGAGAGTTTTTCCAGAATGATGTTCCTGATTCTCACATTTCCCCAGAATCTTCGGGAAGGCGATGCTGTCCTCAAGACTCTCTAATGACACGACATTGTCCCTCCTCTCCCCCGAGTCCTCATCCCCCAGGGGCTCGTTGGCTCCGCAGTTTTCCTCACCATGTGCCTCTGCTTCAGCCACACTTCTCCAGTCTTCCGAACTTGTTGAACTTAGAGTAAATAAAGACCCTTCGTCAGAATCGGTGTCCAGCTCGCACTGAGCGTCAGGCGTGTCCTTTTGTGCTAGTTCCTTGCTAGCAGGAGTCACATGCAGGTCATGACCCCACCCCGGAGTGAAGACGGGTGGGGACGGGTCCGTGGCTCCTGGGTCACTGAGCGTGGCCGCTCCGTAGTGGGCGAGGGGCTCTTCCTCGTCACCGGCGCCCTCGAGCCTTTGCTGCTGTGCGCTTAGCACATTCTCCTTAGAAAACTCCGAAGGGAAGTGTGGACTGCCCCCTCTCCCCTCCTTCTCTCCAGTCCTCAGAGCTTTCGTACGAGCCACCACTTGGGAGAGAGGCGTGGTCATTTCCCTGGGGATGGGTGGGCCTAATTCGTTGGAATCCTCACAGATTGAGCCAGGGCTTGTCTGTAACCTGGCAGCCACGGCAGGGATGCCCACTGATCGCTCACCGAGGGAAGCTTCCCCGGCCACAGTGTCATAATTTACTTCTCCAGGAATATCATACCTGTAGATGCAGTCCTGTCCCGCCGGCATTAGTTGGGTGTCATCAGCATTCGGCCATCCGCGGAGAACGGGCCGGGCTGCACCGTGATTTGGGAGCGCGTTATCCTTCCCGCTTCCTGCCCCGGTGTGGTCCCCGCATCGTTCTCCGCCCTGCCCGCCGCCAGCCTCCTTTCTGCTCGGCGCCAGCGTTCTCGCAGGAGTGACAGCCGCGGGTGGGGCTTGGTTCTCACAGAGGTTTGGATCGTGGCAAGTTTGGCGCAGATCCATCCTTGGCCGCTCCATGTTCCCTACAGCTTTGATCTCATCATAGAAGCCCTGGTTTGAATACACGTTCCCTGAACCTGGACTTTTTTTCCGGCATCTCTGTTGCCACAGTCTGTCCACATAAGGCCTCGCAAAAGCCCCCAGGCAGAAAGCCACGAAGAACGTGATGGACACTGACAGACAGACGGCCAGGACCAGGTCCTGGGAAGCGTCCTCCCTTCTGCCAGCAGCTTGCACATCCCCGGTGCTCCTAACCCTTCCTGGCAGCCGCCTCTCCCCGTCACTGGTGTCAGAGCCCGCAGGGTCCTTCTTGCGCAGGGTGGAAAAGCGCACTTCCCAGGGCCTCTCAGCTGTGCTTGTCGCGAGGCTTCTCGTATGATTCAGATTAGTGCGAGGAAGGTGGGTCTCTCTGGACACGCGCCTTGTGGGCGTCCACCAGTATGCCTCCTCCTTCCCTGAGAGTGGGGGTAAAAGCACACGCTGAGTCGACGCGGGAATGAGATTCCAGTGGTTTAAAAAGCATCTGTGGGCTTCCCTGGTGGCGCAGTGGTTGAGAGTCCGCCTGCCGATGCAGGGGACGCGGGTTCAAGCCCCGGTCCGGGAAGATCCCACATGCCGCGGAGCGGCTGGGCCCGTGAGCCGTGGCCGCTGAGCCTGCGCGTCCGGAGCCTGTGCTCCGCAACGGGAGAGGCCACAAAAGTGAGAGGCCCGCGTACCGCAAAAAAAAAACATAAATAAAAAAAAAAACATAAATAAATAAATAAAAATAATCTGTGAGTCCTCAGTCCTCGTCTAGCTAGATTTAAAGTGGGTATTACACGATTAGCAGCTTTACTGACTGATTGCTTGATCGGTTGTCGATGCCAACAGCATGTGGCAGGCTCTGTGCACGCTTACATGAGGCTCTCAGGCTCGGGTCTGCTGCTCCCAGGCCCGGGAGACTGTGTTTCTTAGGCTTCCTGACTGACTGCTGCCCACAGGAGAAAGGAAGCCAGTCTGTAGGGACAGCCACATTGTTCCTCCTTTCTCCACAGCCTTCCCTTACTTACTGCACATTTACGAGAACATTCCATCAAGCCTCTGCAAAAATCTGCCTTGGCCACACCTGTGTTTGCTATATCACTTCCTCACCATTCCTCGGTGCTGGCAAACAGCAAAAATATTCGGGTTTCTCTGCTGGCTCCTGACATTCTGCCCTCCACACTCGGAATGCCCGTGTGGCTCTCACAGGGCGATGAACCAAGTGTGGCTGACACCATTAAGACTTCTCTCTAATCTTCATGGGTTTCTCCTAAACCTGGTAAGCATGGCCATGTCTCTACTGAATAGCAGTCCTGAATAGAACAGAGGCCAGGACTCACTTTTTAAAAAATGACTCTTTTTTTTTTTCCTCCCCCCAGTTAAGAGTTTGAGAATTAGCCAAGATAGTAAATAGTGTGCGTGTGGTGGGGGAAGCTTTCCAAAATATTCAATTGCAGTAACATATTCTAGCAGTTTGGGAGAGTGGCAGGGAACAAATCAAAGAAAAATATACTTTTGAAATATGTGTGTTTTGTGTATGTGTAGGATTATACTTTCAGAGGGTTAGCCAGCATTTTAAATAATAATGTTTCAAGTTTTAGAAGTCCTTTCTTTGATCAGTTATTTTATTAATATTTGGGATAAAAAATATGACATTTGGGGGCTTTAGGGAAAAATTCTCTCTTTGTGAAATTTCTGGTTTTGACCAAAGCCAGTGATTTCTGAGCTGGCTGAACTAGGTTTCTCTGACCACGTGAAGAAACTCGTTCATGAACTGAGGAGAACAGTTAGGTACCAATGATTTTTCTGTGATACAGCCCAAGGATGATTAATGCCATAGATCAGCACTCTTGCTTCTGGGGGGACTGTCATTGTTTCAAATGAGACTAAATTTTTCATGTCTCTTTTCTGTTTAAATGGAACCATTTCTGAGAGAAGAGGCACTACTGACTTACCAATAGACTTGTTGCAAATTGCATTCCACTTTTTTCTCCAGGATTCAGAAATAACATTTTGGAAGACTTCCACGCTATAGTCACACTGCCACTGGTTAACAGCCAAGTCAGCCTCCAGGTGGGGAAGTTCCAGAGCCACGATCATCATCGGCAGAATGGCGGTCAGAGCATTGTTGCTGAGGTCTACAAACTGCTTGAGAAGAAACAAATTGAGGACAGTCTGTGAATAAAGACATGTGGAGACAAAATAAACTAGTTACAGATACTGTCTATATCTCTATGGAAGCCATACGAATTTAGCACTGATTTCAGAGTCAGAATACTGGGTTTAATTCTCTGCTCTGCCCCTAAGGACTCTGTGAGACTTGGCAAATTGTGGACTCTCAAGGAGCCTACCTCCCAGGGTTGTTCTGAGGATTAAATGTATGTGAAAACTTTAAGTATGGTGCCTGTATTAGATGCCCAGTCACTTTCCCTTCCTTCTTTCCTATAAACTGTGATTTGTACTGTTCAATATAACCTAGATTTCCAGTTGTTATCAAGGTCTGGAATTAGAGATCAGGTCTCGAATGTCTAGAAGCACTGTGATCTTGAAAGTGGCAGGAGATACTGGATGATGAGGACAGAGAGCCCAGAAGAACTGTGGTTGACTGAAAGTGGCAAAGAGAGCTCTTTTGCATCAAGTATTATCTTAAAGGTAATAGTACATTTCTCTGCATCCACGGCTATTCAGTATAAACAAAATGACTAATTTTCCTAGTCTCATCAGAAATGAAGGGGAAACTGGGGAACAAAAAGGATTCAGTGACTCTAAAAACACAGAGTAGGATCTGTGAAGCTGGATACGGCGGTGGTGTGATGTGGCCAGGACAGCATAGTTAGGTGTAGCTCTAGCTACCATTTGCAGAGCGTTGCTGTGTACCAGGCATCCTCCTGGGTGCTTTACATGCATTATGTCTATTCCTCCCAACAACTTTGTCATTTCCCCCTTTTTACAGAGGAGGAAACGGGGCTAGGTCACAGTATATCCCATATAATCCCTACTCCTAAGGCTTGGTACCAGGTGCGCAGAAAATAATGGAGAAATGAACGAATGAATGAATGAATGAGTGAATGGCAGAGCTGAGATCTGATCTGGCTCCGTAGCTGTGTGCCTTCCACTCCAGAACACAGCCTCTCGGAGCCTGAGCTCCCACTGCACTGGAGTGAAGGGATGCACAGAGGAGGCCCGGAGCGTGAGCCACCAGAGTGGGGTCATGGGGTTTGGGAGAAAATCATAAACGCAAACCTTGCTGAAAAGTAACAAAGAGGGCCATGGATGAAAACCATGGAGGCTGAATGTGATTCAGGTCAATTGTTTAATAAACATCAGGGAAAAAGCAGCACTGGAATCTTGGGTTATATAAATTCCTGAAAAGAGCTTTTACTCAGACAAACACTCAAACAGCACCATAACCAAGACTCAGTAGTGAGGGGGACCTTTGCACTGTTGAGTAACCAAGCACTCTTGACTCCCAAGGGAAGGCTGTCAAAAATAGGAAGTAGGAGACTGGGACCAGGAAGGAAAAAGAAACCCCCACAAAACTTTGCTTTGGCCTGGCCTTGACTAGGATCAATAGTTTTCTATGTACCCCCCCCCTCAACAAAAGGGTGAAATATTCTAATGTTTTTTAGGGTATTTTCTTCTTAGTGCATGTCTGCATTTTTTTTCCCATCCTAGCAGCTGTTATATTATAAATCACGAAACTAAAAGCAACACAGAAGAGAGGACAGAGAGCTAATCAAATGATGCAGGAGGAATCATTTCTGAGAAAAGATTAAAACAGAATAGTCCAATTTGGCTAAAGAAGTGGCCATCCACTGTCACTTGAAAGGAGTGTACGTTATAGAAAGATTGGGAGAAGCATATAATGTTGCTAACGATCACTGCTCTAAGAAGAATGGCAGAGGAGAAGGAATGCTTATATGAAATGCCAGTGAAACATTTCATTCTACCTCCACATGATGATGAATTTATGCTTTGAGAAATCTATCTGGTTTCTGAAAAGATTTCCACGTGGAAAGACATGTAATATAAAATGCAAGTATTAAATACGTCTCCTGGAAAAAAACCCAACTACATCCATGTTAATATTCGACTTTCTGGTACCAAATATGCTCATCATGTTCCCAAAGAAGTTTTTAGAGTTATTGCTGAACAGGCAGAAGGGTTAATAGAGAAGGAGAAATTGTATGATTCTGGGCGGCTCAGGTAATTTAGGATTACAGATGATTCAGAACATTCTTGGGCTTGTTTTTTAGCTTGCCTGTAGCATCTATGACCTGTGAGCTGCAGAAGACTTATAAAGCACAATGAAAATGCACAGGAAATAAAACAGGCATAGGGAAATTGCACATACAAATATAATCAGTATACAATATGCTAAATGAGGTTCCCAGGCAATCTGACGGCCTGTTTGTGGTGAACCGAGAGCACTGCCAAGTTAAGTGGACTTTCTCGTCTGCTCTGATAACGACGACGGCAGACAGGTCCCCAATAACCTGCCCCCATATTCACACCATCTGGGTCATCTCCTCCCCTTGAGTATAGGCAAGACCTGTGCCTCTCTTCTAACCGACAGACCATGGCAAAAGCAATGGATGCCCCTTCCACGATTACATTCCATAAGACTGTGATGTTCTTGCTAGCAGGCTCTCTCCTTCGGGCTCTGAAGCGAGCTGCCATGCTGTGAACTGCCCTGTGGGGAGGTCCACACGGCACAGAACTGACGGCAGGCTTAGGCTGATAGCCAGTAAGGAATGGCGCCCGAAGCCCAGTAGCCCACGTGGAACTGAATCCTGCCAACAACCACATGAGCTTGGAAGTGGATCCTTCTTCAGCTGGGCCTTCAGGTGAGACTCCAGCCCTGGCCAACACCTTGATTGCAGCCTTCTTTCCCCCCTTTTATTATTATTTTATTAATAAACTTTTTAAAAATTTTTATTTATTTTTTTACATCTTTATTGGAGTATCACTGCTTTACAATGGTGTGTTAGTTTCTGCTTTATAACAAAGTGAATCAGCTATACATATACATATATCCCCATATCTCCTCCCTCTTGCGTCTCCCTCCCACCCTCCCTATCCCACCCCTCTTGGTGGTCACAAAGCACTGAGCTGATCTCCCTGTGCTATGCGGCTGCTTCCCACTAGCTATCTACCTTACGTTTGTAGTGTATATATGTCCATGCCACTCTCTCACTTTGTCACAGCTTACCCTTCCCCCTCCCCATATCCTCAAGTCCATTCTCTAGTAGGTCTGTGTCTTTATTCCCGTCTTACCCCTACGTTCTTCACGACATTTTTTTCCCTTAAATTCCATATATATGTGTTAGCATACGGTATTTATCTTTCTCTTTCTAACTTACTTCACTCTGTATGACAGACTCTAGGTCTATCCACCTCACTACAAATAGCTCAATTTCGTTTCTTTTTATGGCGGAGTAATATTCCATTGTATATATGTGCCACCTCTTCTTTATCCATTTATCCGATAATAAACTTAAGAACAGCTCTAACACCTCTCTCTCCCCCAAAGCAACTAAACCCAGCTAAAAGCGGGTGTGGCCTGGGGGGCAGAGGGCTCTAGGAGTCGTCATCCTCTTCATCCTTTGCCTCAGGTGCTGAGGGGCCCAGGGGGTGGGGTGCTGGGGGCAGAGGCAGAGTCGAGGTGAAGGGCATGAAGGGTGTCAGGGGGGCTCTGGAAGTGGGCAGGGAGGCGGCTGGCCTGGGATGGGGGCAGTGGTGTCTCTTCTTCCCCGTCAGTATCTGTATCCTCAGACATCCTCCTGCTGTGAGCCTGTCCCTGACAGCTTCTTGTCTTTGCCTCTGCTTCGCATCCCACCATTCTTCCGGCTGCTGCCTCCTGGCTTCCGGCCCCTGCGGGGACCCTTGTTCCCACCCATGTGGTTGTCTTCCCCATCCCCCTACATGTTAGGCACGGATGCCACCAGATCCTTCAAGAAGTCAAACTGCGGCTCCAGCTCAATGCACTGCTTCCGGTGGGATGTGGTCACGGTCTTGGCGTTTCAGGACTGGGTCACCGGCAGGCTTTCTTCCACGGTGACTCCAGGAAAAACTCGAGCGCCCGACAGAGGATGACAGGCACAGCCGCCGCCACCTTCCCAATCTCTTCATCCGTCTACACGATCTTCTTGATCCGGGCCGGTGGGAGCCACACGTTGTACCTCCTCTTGCTCGGCATCTCGGGGCCTCTCTGGCTGCGCCGGGCACAGCACCACTGCCCGCAGCCTCCCGGCCCCTGGGCCTGCTCGTCGCCCACCTGCCCTCCGTGGTTTGACTGCAGCCTCTTGAGACACCTTCAGCAGAGGCCCCAGGCAAGCCTTGCCTGGATTGCTGACCTCAGCAATAGGTAACTAATACACCTATCCATGATCATTATCTAGCCGTTCGTTCCTTTGTTTATTCAAAAAGTGTTTGTAAAAACATGGTATGTACTGGACATATGTTAAGCATTAGAAAACAAAATAGACATGATGTATGTCCTCAAAGAGCTCACCGTCTGGTAGAAGGGTTATGGGGATATAGGCATTAATGGCTAAGCCATACCTAGAATGAAATAATTTCAGTTTCCATACGTGCAATATGGAAAAAGCAGAGTCTACTATACCTGTGTATAAAGGGAAACTAATTCAATCTGGAGACCCAGGGAAGGCTTCCTTGAGGAGTAGTAAGAGTTAGCTCTTCCAGGCAAAAGGATCAGCAATAGGGGAGGGCTTGGGGTGAAAACTAGGCAGGAATGCAGTCAGCAAGGGGAGGGTGGCTTGAAATGAGGCTGGAGGGGCAAGCAGGGGCCAGGCCCTTGTCGTGAAAGCTTACAATCAGATTTGTATGTTAAAATAGTAGAGCTGGGCTTCCCTGGTGGCGCAGTGGTTGAGAGTCCGCCTGCCGATGCAGGGGACACGGGTTCGTGCCCCGGTCTGGGAGGATCCCACATGCCGCGGAGCGGCTGGGCCCATGAGCCATGGCCGCTGAGCCTGCGCGTCCGGAGCCTGTGCTCCGCAACGGGAGAGGCCACAGCAGTGAGAGGCCCGCGTACCGCAAAAAAAAAAAAAAAAAAAAAAAAGAGTAGGGCGTCGCAACCACTTTAGAATTTCTATATGTAGTCTACATTTATAAAGGGCTTACTGTATTCCAACTACTGTTCAAAGCACAGTCTATGGATTAAAACATTTAATTCTCACAAAACTCTATGAAGAAGGAAGCAACTTACCTCCCTTTTACAGATGAGAAAACTGAGGCACAGAGTGATTCGGTAACTTACCCAAGATCGTGTGGCTGGCGAGGGGCAGAGCCTAGGTTTAAACTCAGGCAGCTGGCTGCAGAGTCGACCTCCCTCACCACTGCGTCACTAGTCTCCGAGAGAGGACGGGCTTGGAGGGCCATTCCGGTTGAAAGGGGCAGGGGTGAGGTTGGGCATTTGTCTTGCAGCTATGCTATGGCTAGTCCAAACTGGGATGTGCAGTAAGGGTAAGATACAGTCTGCCCTCCATATCTGTGGTTTCTGCATTCTCAGATTCAACCAACCATGGACAGAAAATAATTTAAAAAAAAAAAAAGTGTTGAGTGTTCCAAAAATCAAAACTTGAATTTGTCCTACACAGGCAACTATTTACATAGCACTTACATTGTATTTACATAGCATTTACGTTGTATTATTATAAGTAATCTAGAGATGATTTAAAGTATATGGGAGCATGTGTTTAGGTTATACGCAAGTACTATGCCATTTTACATAAGGGACTTGAGGATCCACAGATTTTGGTACCCATGGGGGTCCTGAAACCAATCCCCTTGGATACCAAGCATCAGCGATACACACAGGGCTTTGAAGACTTAGTATGAAAAAAGAGAATGGAAAATATCTCAATAATTTTTACATTGCCTACATGTGTAAAAGATAATATCTGGATATATTGGGTTACAAAATATATTAGTAAAATTAAATTCACCTGCTTATTTTTACTTCTTAAATCTAGTTACCGAGAACATCTAAAGTTACACATGTGGCCCACATTATGCTTTATTGGATGATACTGGCCTATATAAAGAATGGGGGTGTGTGGTGCAGGTTACGGGGACAGGGGATTCAAGCTTCTCCTAAGCCATCTCTAGGTCCTGGTGTTTCTAAAGGAGCACTGAGGGGAGATTCTACAATATCTCCCCATAGAGGAGGAGAGAGGAGGAAGGGGCTAGGAGGAGAAGGGGCTGAAGCTGCCAAAGCCGGAGCAGGGCTCTAGGGTTTACTCACACTCCCAGCTGTCAGGACCTCGGTGAGATTCACTGCAAGGTGCCCGAGAGACAGGCACCATGCCTCCAAAATGTGACGTCGATCCCCCCAACCTGGCTCTGATGTTTAGAACTGCGTGTGGCACGTGGTAAGTGGGAGGCAAAGATGAGTTGATATCATTATGATTTGTATCATTCTGTGCCCAATTTTGGTGTGGAAGCATCAGGGTCACTGGCCTTCAGAGGCCCATGTGGTCCTGGGCTCTATGGGGTGTAGAGCTCATTTAGGCCCATATACTCCCAAATTGCATAAAACCCCAGGGACCTTTGACTGACCTTGTAGTTCAGGGAGGGAGCCTTGCTAATAACCGAGATTTAATTTCTTGCCAACTGGTAAGTGGAAGCTTGGAGTTGGGTTTAATTAGATTTAGGAAAAATAATGAACCAATCCTTGCTGCTGAGCCTACATGTTCAAATAAAATGTCCACATTCATGTCCACTACTGAGGCCTTGGATTTTTGAGGCAAGAGAGAGACTTCAGCTCTTTTAGGGGCATCTTAAAATAGACTTATAGTTTTTGATTGGTAGCCAGTACTACTGGGCACGAAGAAACTCTTCAATGAAAGTATTCTTCTAATAGCATTGCCTATAGTTCTGCATATTAGAAATAGTATAAACACTATTTTCTAACCTGTAATTTTTTTAGGTCCTTGAAGGCTTCTGGATGAATTCTGAATATCTTGTTGCTCTTTAAATGGAGGCTTTCTAGTTGCAGGCAGTTATGAAAATCAGACAAACCAATTTGCGTTATCCCATTGAATGACAGATCCAAACTCTGTAATGACTTCAGTTTCCACAGCCCTGTTAAAATTAAAAAGCAACTTGAAATATAAATTGGTGGTACTTACTGCAGCATTGTCTGTAATGGTGGAAAACTGGACACAACTTAAATGGCTCACGACAGAGAAATGGGCAAAGGATGGCTATATCAATACTACAAAATACTGTGTAGTCTTAAAAGAGAATGGGATAGATCAACCTGAAATAACTGAACAGGAAGGAAAAGTTAAGTTGCAGGAAAGTAGAGTATAATTCCAATGTTCTTGGGAAAAAAAGGCCACATGCAAACATACACACATGTTTCAAGCGAGCAGAGTAGAAGGCCTGGAAGGAGATGAACTAAGCTACCAGTGGTAGCTACACTTAGAAGTACGATGGCGGAGGGAGGTGAAACTATGCTTCGATTTTATACACTTTTGAATTCTTCCTTTGAATGAACATGTACTCATTTTATAATAAAAGCATCAATCAAAAATCTAACCTTGATTGAATGAAACGGTAAATATGATACTTGCTTATTTGATTGAACTATGGGTAAAACAGGATGATCTTGCTATGGTTATAGAGGAAAAAGTTGTTTTGATGCTTTATTTACATGGATGAATTCTTCCCCCTTTAAGATGTCCTCCTTCTATTTTGTAGCTGTATCCTTTAACTCCTTATCGTTGATATTATAACTATTTTTTATATTTTTCAAAGGTAATATGTTAGAGCTAGAGGTTTTAGTTTCCGGCAAAATAATAGAATTGAGTTTTGGTCTCTGCCTTTGTATTTCACTTGATTCCAGAAGTAACCACGAGGCCCATCTGGCACTGAAGGTAAAGGTTGAGAATGATGTACCAGCCGTAGCAGTCTTCCAAATCTGAGTTCCCACATGAGTCTCACGTGGAAGCCCTGCATTTTTACATTTCCTTCTGCTCTGTTCTCACACATAGTCTGCGTCTTTAACAAACGACTACATAGCAGATCAGGTTGGTTCAATTCCAGAAGGGTTTATTCCTTGTCTACTATCTGCAAACTATCAGTACTTACTGTAAGACTAATTATGCAGAGACATGATGACCTAAATGAAATGGTTGCACATCTATGTTCTCATTTGCTCATTTCAGCTGTGCAGACTAAGCAAGAGACCACAAGGACGACAACTCAGTCGAAATACTATGAGCATGGTACTTAGTGCTGAGGACAAAGACAGTGGAGAAACTTTGCGTCTGGTTGCGTGATAAGACACACACACAAGAAAAAGTTGTTAGTTATATAAAGCAGTTTTACCCCCACTATTGACTGTAAAATAATTGTTGTTCGTCAGCCTCTCCATCAGATGATTAGTCCTTTCAGGGCAGAATTCACACCTTTGTGAACACTTGTAATGCCCAATATATAATATACATTCAATAGGCTAGAAGTCACAGTGTTTGACCTGCACAGAGATTTAAAAGTTGTTGAGCCAACATCAAAGATTCAGTATGAACATGTACATTTCTAGCTTTTCTTGAAAAATAAGTCTCAACTGGCACAAGACATTTGGCTGGAGCTGAATGAGGGCTGCCTGCTACGGATGGGGCATGCACTTATAGAAGAATATGATGTCTCTATCAAAAATAGGAAGATAAAGGATAGGCCAAGAAGCCTGCATGTTTAAAAAAATGAGAGAGGGCTTCCCTGGTGGCGCAGTGGTTGAGAGTCCGCCTGCCGATGCAGGGAACGCGGGTTCGTGCCCCGGTCCGGGAAGATCCCACATGCCGCGGAGCGGCTGAGCCCGTGAGCCATGGCCACTGTGCCTGCGCGTCCGGAGCCTGTGCTCTGCAACAGGAGAGGCCACAACAGTGAGAGGCCCGCGTACCGCAAAAAAAAAAAAAAAAAGAGAGAGCGAGCCAAGGCTGAGATTCAGCCGGCATATGCTGGTGAGAAATACTTCCATATTGGTTCATAAATAGCTGCTGCTGAGCCACTGTGTGTTGCCCCGCTGCGCTAGGCACTTTAGTCTATTCTCCCTTCCACCTCCCACCCCCAGCAGGATTCTGCTTCATCATTACAGCCAGAAGGCATCCAACTTGGGAACCCAGGCTAAAGGCCTCTTGTTAAATATTTTGAATATAAGCTCTGGAGAAAATACATTTCTTTCTGGACTGAAGAATATTCCTACGTGTTTTAATACGCAAATCTATGGGTCTTGAGAAAAATGCAACACAGAAGCTGATATGAAAGAAGTTTCTCAACATTTTCATGATAATTGCCTGACCTGTACAGGGATGTGAGCTCATGGTCCCTATCATATCTAGTACTTAATTGAATTGAATAAGTACCCCGGGAGTTCAGTGGAGAGGGAGACCATGTCTAGTTTGGTCTCTATCAATGGACAGGGGGGTGTTGAAATCTCCAACTGTAACAGTGGATTTGACATGGAGCTGGACCTTGCAGGACCTTCTCAGGGACAGTCCCCTGTGTCCCTGGCCTCTCATTTGTAGAAAAGCTTTAGCCTCCTAGGGCTTCCCCAAGTTCCAAAGAGCAAATTCAATCACAGAAGTGACAAAATGTAGAAACAAAGGAAAACAGTCAAGCAAGACAAAATAATAATAGTTTATAAAAATAGAATGACCATATGGTCCAGCAATCCAACTCCTGAGAATATCCGCGGACAAAACTATAATTCAAAAAGATACATGCCCCCCTGTGATCATAGCAGCACTGTTCACAACAGCCAAAACATGGAAGCAACCTAAATGTCCATTGACAGAGGAATGGATAAAGAAGATGTGGTACATATATACAATGGAATACTACTCAGCCATAAAAAAGAACGAAATAATGCCATTTGCAGCAACATGATGCAACTAGAGATTATCATACTAAGTGAAGTAAGTCAGAAAGAGAAAGACAAATACGTGATATCACTTATATGTGGAATCTAAAATATGGCACAAATGAACCTATCTACAAAACAGAAACAGACTTGTGGTTGCCAAGGGAGAGTGGGGGAGGGAGAGGGACAGACTGGGGGAGTTTTGGGTTGGTAGATGCAAGCTATTACCTTTAGAATGGATAAACAACAAGGTCCTACAGTATTGCACAGGGAACTATATTCAGTATCCTGTGATAAACCATAATGGAAAAGAATATAAGAAAAGAATGTATATAAGTGTATAACTGAGGCCCTTTGCTGTACAGCAGAGATTGGAACAACATTGTGAATCGACTATACTTCAATTGAGAAAAATAATAGTTTAGCTATAAAAAAAAGTCAAAAAGACCTTTAGTTCCTCCTCAAGGGTATAGATAATATCCTGAGTCATAGTCTTGAGCTGTTTTGCAGATACTAAGACCCCACCAGGTGGAGGAAGTTAACTGCATGCTGACCCCATGAGCACATAGACCCCATGGTTGGAACCAGAAGGCTGATGATTCCTGAAACATCACTCTGTTTCTTTGCCATCAACCAATCAGAGAATTACGCATGAGCAGATCACACACCCTGTGACCCTCTCCCTCACCCTGTCTTTAAAAACTCTTCTCTGAAAACCATCGAGGAGTTCAGGCCATGTGAGCATGAGTTGCCTGTTCTCCTTCCTCGGCACCCTGAGGTAAATGCTGTCTGTGCTTTCCTTCACCACAACCCGGTGTCAGTTGATGGGCTTTGTTGCACATCGGGCCAGCAGACACAAGTTAGGTTTGGTAACAGATCTGCTCACTTCTCTGTACAGTTCTGTCAGGTTTTTCCTCACATATTTTGACAATCTATTGTTAGGTGTATTCACATTAGAATTATTATATCCCCTTCAAGAACTGATCCCTTTATCATTAAGTAGTGCTTTCTTTATCCCTGAAGTCTCCTGTGTCTGAAATTAATATGGCTACTCCACCTTTCCTTAGATTAGTGTTTCTCTAATGGCGAATCTTTCTCCATCCCTTTAGCTAGCAGTTTTATTTGTAATACCAAAAAAGACAGCCCAAGTGTCTGCTGACAGGTAAATGAGAGTATCCACACAATGAAATTCTACTCAGAAATAACAAGGAATGCACTTTTAATACATACAACGACATGGATGAATCTCAAAATAATTATACTGAATGAAAGAAGATACATCAAAAATAAAAGAATGTGTTGAACGATTGCATTTATATAAAATTATAGAAAATGCAAATGAATCGATAGTGACAGAAAGAAGATCAGTGGCTACTTGGGCAGGGGAGAGATGATGGGTGGGAAAGATCGACTGCAGAGAGGCATGAGGGAATTCTGGGGGGTGATGGACAGTTATCTTGATAGTGCTGATGGTCTCACAAGTCAGTGTGGTTCAGAGAGCCAGAGGACAGACCAGAGCACCCAGAACATGGAGAATCAGGGGTCTCCAACATTATACAGGCCTACAGAAGTATGAACTGTAGTGCAAGACTGTTGGTGAGCGCTCTGAACTTTATACAAACTCTGAACAGTTGTAGAAAGAGAATGAAAACCACCTTCGGTTACTCATTGTACCAGAAATCAAGGAGGTGATGACTATTATAGCAAAGACTAGGATGGGAAACAGAATTAGATACTCAGGCTGATCAAATGGCCCTAAAGGAGAACTAACACCTGTTATGTACGAGGTACAATGAGAGATGTTTTATATATGTCATCACTCTGTGTGTTATAGTTTTTACAAATGCTGTCTCTAACCCTCACATCAACCCTGTATATATCACTATCTCCAGTTAAAGATAAGGACCAGGAAGCTTTTATAGGTTAAGTGACTTGCTTAAGGTCAATAAGCAAGCAAATAGAGTAATGCAAGGCGTATAAAAGATAAAGTAAAAGAGTAACTAGGAAGAGTGGGACCAGAGCATGCCCAAGCCTGGGGGGGATTTTGAACATGGAGAGTTATAAGAATATCCTCTTATTTGATTCCCTTCTTAATATCAAGCTAAGATCCCCAAGAAGAAGGGAAACTTCTGCACAGGGGAATTAAGACTGTGAAGTTCAGTTACTCCTCCCATGTGAAGATTTTCCTTTTCCTTCCAATTTTAGAGAATTAAGGTGCAATGTTATTAAGGGAACTAGTGGAGTCCTGCAAATGACCTTTTTGTTTGGCAGTCTCTCAAGATGGAGTTGGAAAATTTGGGTAAACTCTTCTATGACACTTGGCTGTGGTTCTCAATAAGAGAATATGTTCTTTTACATATTTTGCATGGCGAATCAATGTTGAGGAGTATTCAGGTGAGTGAAAGAGGTTGCGAGGCGCATTAAGAGCTGGGGCTTGGACATCAGAGAGTACATTTTATGTTTTGAGAGAGTCCAATGTTGGGAGAGGCATATGGAGGCGCTTTTGTGGAGATGGGATTATTTATTGAACTGCTTTCTGATGGTCACATAGGCAGGAATTTGATAAGCCTTTGCATTTAGAACGCCAGAGGCAGTTTCATTATTTCCAAGAAATTATCTCAGTGTCTATGAGAAAAAAAAGGCCACAGAGGGCATGCCCAGACATTACACCATCTTAGAAACATTCCTTTGGACGCTGAATTTCTTAAGTCGTCTCCCAAATGTGATAATCTGATAACATAAAATGATGATATTCAAGGGTTATGGCTTCAAGTTCAAAGAGTATTAGGAATTGGAATAGAGTCTGGAATGATCCTGGATAAGATATTTGAGTCATAAAATCAGCCCCTTAATGTGGTCAAATTTATATAGGTGAGCCAAAGACCTTGACCTCTTAGCTTAATGATATACATTCATTTTGTTACTTTAGAACCTGAATTGGTTTTGAGAACATTGGTTATTGGTATTTCCATAATCCAAACAGTAATCAGGATGAAAGGTTTAATTCCCTACAAATGAAGAGTACAATATACTTTTTTTTCAACAATACGCTGGTTATGTTTTTTTCTCCTCCACCAGTTTCAAAAATCAGGTATTATTTCATCTCATTGACAACATATTTATCTCTTGGATTCTGGAATTTAGTATGTTAATGTGAGGCTGTCACATCTGGTCTTTCAACCTAACTGGAAACTCAGTAAGATGTTGGTGCTGATACATTTTCAGGCACTTTGTGGGCACTCCAGAAATACTGTTTGATGAAAGTGGGATAGTTTAACTGGAGACCAATCCCCTTGTTTTCAATTTTTTTAAACTGATTTTTCCATTATTAATGCTGTACTCCAAGAATATGGGAGGAATATGGTCATGAAGGTTAAATTCATGGCTAGCTTCTGTTTTGTGAATTGCATTGGCCAGTACCTCCTCTGGATGTTTTCCCAACATGAAGCTTATTGGTAACATCACAGATGATCAGCATCAAGAAAGGAAATCAGCTGACACTGAGCTGGTTAGTCAATGTGATCTTTCACCCTTACAAAAATGGGCTTTCCACAGTCAAAGCAACTTTTCACTGGCTCTATAAACTGTCACCATATTAAGATATGTGAAACATGATTTATAAAGGTGCTATAGGCCAATTGCTTGACTGCTGCTTTCTGAGAAATCTCTAATTAATCATTATCTTTAGATGAGTGCAAATACCTATGTAAATAGATACAAATGATTCCCTGCTTATGAATTATAGTGGGCTAGGAGTCACATCTGCTGCAATAATTATTTAACATTTTAAAAGATAACTTGAGATTCAGACAAAAACAAATTTATCATTTGTTTCTAAAAGACTGTTATTCTCAATTTGTGCCAAGAGTAATAAGAACTAATATTTGCAAAGTACTTTAGAAGTTTATGAAGTACTTTTCACATATTAATAGCTACTGTTTATGATGCCAAATACTGTGTTAAGTTAGGTTCTTAAGATACGTCTTTCCTTTAATCCTCACAGTTCTGAGTAAATATTACATTATCTAGACATTTCCTTTAAAAAGGCGTAGGATAAAGGAATCAAAAAAGAACAAAGGTCAGGAGTAGGATGGCACCTCAGGGAGCACCTCTCTTACCAGCTTTTTCCCTCGAAAATGGGATTTCAACGTCAGAGTTACCCAGCCATAGTCACAGAATCATAAAATGGGACAGGACGCCAGAGGGGACTCTAGTCCCTAATAAGAACTGAAAGTGTATGATGATTACAGGAAAACAAACCCCAAAATGCTATGGAGAAAAGAACTCTGAATTACATCCAATTAGATTCAGGGCTTACAGTGGCCCTCCATCATCAATCTGTTTCATTCATCTCTCCATGGTTTTATTTGCTAGAATTCCATTAGAATTTCAGATAAAGGATTTACTCATTTCACATCTTTTTATCCCCTCCTTTGCAAGCTTAACATATTTCCTGATATTCTGGGAGGCAGAAGTTTAACTTGGGAAAGGAGGATGGGACTGCATCTGCATTTTATAGAGATATTTGGTCCTTAAATGAAATGTATTCATCCTAACCTCCAGTTAGCTCTGGAGAATTCATCTGCCTTAAGGAGATATAGTCAGCGTTTCTCTATCTACTGTTATGGTGGGATAATATCTTGACATATTAAGCTTTTACCTGTCTCTCTTTTCCTTGTGTCCTTTCCCTCTGTTCAAGCAGTAAGTAAAAGCTCTGTGTTAATTGTTCCAGGGGAGGCACATGGCAAGGCAGAAAGCAGAGGTGAGCAGAGGCGACTACAAGTCTTTTTGGCTTTTGTTTTCCAAAGGCCTGAATCTTTAGAGGAAAGGAATTTCTAGATCTAGATAGAGAGTTTTGAAGAAACAAAAGCACGTAAGAATTTTCTACAAACTGAAAGACTGAAAAGAAACATTCTCTGGCTAGAGGGGGTAAGGGACACACACCACACACACACACACACACACACACACACACACACACACACACACACACACTTTGATGCCTTGTCAGGGTATAAGATTCTAGAGCTGCGGTATAAATCTAGGAAAAGATAAAGGAAAGCCCATGAAAAACTGATGTTAAGTTTAAGTACCCGTACATCCCACCACAACTGACGCTAGCAAAATGGGGGCTCAGAATCAGAAACTGTGCTGAGTTATAAACAGTAGAAGGTTATATCTCTAGTACACTTGAATTTGTGGGTTGAGATTCACATCTACCATACTAGTTAGAAAACACAGTTATATCATGTGGATATGTGTAGCTTTAATGATGTTCATCAGAGTTATAGCAAACAAAATGGAAATAATCTAAATGTTGTTTGATTGAACAGATTATAATATATTAAAATTATTCAACTATTTAAAATATTATTTATGAGATTGCTTAATTATGTAAAGATGTTCAAAATATTCTGTGATATAAAATTATGTTATGAAATATTATGGACAGTAAATCCAATTTTGAAAGAAAAATATATATGTAGGCATAAAGAATAAACTTGAAGAATACATATTACATGAGGGACTTTAATGTTTCCCTTTAAATTTTTCTTTAATTCCTAATATTTTACAAAAAACAGGCATTCCTTTTGTAATAAGAACAGTATGATAAAAATCATAAAATAAAACGCAATTAGTTTACACTTTGCACTGAAAATACTATACATTGCTTTTATGGGAAAGTTCAGGGAGAGAAGACTCCTGTCCTTCTCACACAATTCTGCTGCTGTGGTGACTGAAATAGTAGTCCCTTCACCTGCCAGGCTATTATAGTCAAAATTATGCTTAAAACAAGATACTGGAGAAAGAGCAAAAAATAAATGAAAAAACAAAAAAATAAAAGCATGAAATGAAAGAACTGAAAATGAGAAAAACTAAATATGCATAATTTGAGATGGAGAAAAATGAGAAAATCCTTACACTTTCTTTTTTTAGCATAAGATCTTATATAAAGTAAGTACTTAGCAAAGAGTGACCAAGACTGAAAATAGACAGGGAAAGGAAACTGTCTAGCACTCCTGAATATAAAAAGGAAGCTCTGGCTTATGAATCTGATACATTTTCTAAATAAAACATTGGTGGATTAGTTAAGGAACTCCAAAATGTAGATTATTGAGTGTTGGAATGGATGAGAATTTATTATAATAGGAGGGTATGTGGAGTTCTGATAAGGAGTCCTACTTTGATTTGATAATAAGGAAGTTTATATATAATATTAGCATATATGTAGTCTACATTTGGAGGAAAACCAGATAAGAAGATGTAAAATGTATTCTGTAAAAATAAAAATTATAAATATGGCAACACTTAATTTGCATTGTTACATATTAAAAGTATCTGAACTACTTATTTCTCAGTGCTTTTCTGTAATTAGTAAAAAAAAATACATAAATCAAAGTAGGTAATTTAAAATCACACATTATTATTTAGTACTTAAATACTTCCTAGTATCTCTTGACAAATCCATATAAGATTAATGTAAGTTATAGCAATGGGAGATTAAATTACATTGACTTTAAATTCCACATATTATAACTTAAAATTCCACTAAGAAACTCCTTTTATTATATTTGCTCTGATCCAACTGCTTTACTTTCAGCTCTTTCCTTGAAACTGAAAACAAACCTGGAATTCTTATTGACATAAAACATTAGCTCTCCACATACTCATTGTTTCTTGGTCTAGTCCATCTTTTAAAGTTGTACTTACCCTTGGGAATGTCACTGAGTTTATTTCTTTGAAGAATGAGCAACTTTAGAAATGGAAGCCCATTTCTCAAGCTGCCTCTCTGGCGTTTCACCCACAAGGACTTGAAACTGAGTAGATCCAATGACACGGAGCGAATAGCGTTGTTGCTGAGGTTTAATATTTCCAAAGCACGAAAATGTGCAAGAGAGCTTAAGGTTATTTTCGATATGAGATTGTTACTGAGGTCCAGGTGTCTTATATTCCATTCTTCTTTTTTCATGTGAGTTTGTAAGAGAACCCTAAAGAAACTGGAACTTACATCCACTATGGCTGCCATCTGTGATATGTCCACAGGTATTTCATGCTTTCCAGCAAAAGAACAATTTGTCAGAAGATATCCGTTCCATTGGCACTCGGAATTGAATAAAATACTTTTTCTTGATGGGTTTGTCATTGTGTCAGTAAAATAAAGACCTATAACCATGGTAACGACTCTGAGACGTAGGTTTTTCATAATGCCTGGAGAAAGAAAAATTGACTTATTCAAAATAACTTATGTAAAAACTAATAGCAAATAAGCAGAAATTTTAATTTTCAATTTAAGATTCAGGAAAGTTATCTTGCCTTGATTGTCAATTTACACGGATGTTTGATTTCTTAGACAGTGGGGCAAAATGTAGCTACCAAAATGGTAAACAGCTATAGTGTAAAATTACATTTATGCCACAGTTTTAAAGAAGGAACCCCTCCTGATTTGTCAGAAAATGTGTACTCACTTGGACCTCACCTGTGTCTGCTTTTCCAGGATTACTCACCCTGCAGTCTGCTTTGGAATGAGGGAAACCTACCAAGATGAAAAACTTCTCTGCTTCCTTCCTGGTCTTCAGTACTGAGCAAAGTCTATTATCCTTATTTTACAGCACGGTAATCAGCCATGTGCTTTATCACATGAGTGACAAGCCATATCGTTACACCAAACCGTGGAACTGTATCGGTGGAAAGTTCAACTCATGAAAGAGACTCGATTTTTTTTAATGACTAGAAGAACTACAAGCTTTGTCTCTGCGGCTTTTGTAGCTTTTCAAATCCACTTGAAACCATTTAGATACCTACGTTAAAAAAAAATCGGTTATAAAAAGGATGCTCTCCCTAGGACCCATGAAGATATAATTAGATACAGAAACTCAAGTATCTTTCTCACCAAAGATTCTTGAGAAGCAATTGAAAGCTTTAAAACAAGTATCTACAAATCACAATGCCTGAATGTATGCACAAAAAACAATTTTAAGAGTAGATGAGGAGGGGTGGGATAGGGAGGGTGGGAGGGAGGGAGACGCAAGAGGGAAGAGATGTGGGAACATATGTATATGTATAGCTGATTCACTTTGTTATAAAGCAGAAACTAACACACCACTGTAAAGCAATTATACTCCAATAAAAAACAACAGAAGAGTAGATGAATAACTTTTTTGTGATTTAATTACTAAATTAATTACTAAATTTAATGATTTAATTACTAAATTCCATTAAAAACTCAGTGTGTGTACAAATAACCACATTACTCGGCACGTAGGTTTATAGCAAATTGTCCCTTCCATTCTGTTCCAATGGCAAATGGCACCATTCTAGTTCTCATCACTAATCTGCAATACTAGCATGGGCTTAACTGGTTTTCCTGTCACTGCCTTTCAATTTTCCTTCTTGCTTCATCCAATGAAATTCCAAAGGGTTACTTCCCCATAGTACTGTTTTCCCATATCATATCCTCATTCAGAAGCCTTTAAGGGCTCTGCAGTGCCTACAGTCCAAATCCCTCAGGTTGGCATCCCAGGCTTTGTATTATTTACCTGAGTTCATGAACTAGTTTTAAAAGTACATGTGGAGCAACTACAAGATGGGGCTTGTGCACCTCGGTATATATGTAGATCTCATGCAAAAATTAGCTTTTACTTCACTCCAATTCCAAGCCTAATGCCTTTTCCTCTCCTCAGTCCAAATCCTACATATGTCCTTCCAGATCCATCACAAACCCTATGACCTGAAGACCCTTCTTCCTGCTTTGGCCTCTATTTTGTTCAGAAATCTTTCAGTAAATATTTATTGAATGAATGAATGCATGCTAGTAACATTCAGTTTGACAGAATATCAGTACTGTCCTATATGGCTATCGCTTTGCATTGTGTCTGTTTTAAACAGCCCAAAAGACTATAAGCTCCCAGATGGTAAGGGCCATGTTTTCATACATATATATATAACTTCCCCCCATGTTTTATATTTTTAATAGTCTTTAGTCTGTCATAGGACTATGCTATCTATATATCTATATATAGGGCTATATCTGTATTATCTACGTATCATCTATTTATCTCATCTATGTATATTTTCCCCCATGTTTTATATTTTTAATAGTCTGCAGTCTGTCATAGGATTATGCTCTGCTTGGATAAATGAATGCATGCAATGGATGAAATTTACCATGTAACTTTTTAAACTTTGGTTTCATACAAGGTCAAATCTGCCATATTTTGAAAGGCATCTAAGTTCCCGCACACGTGGCTATGAACTGCAAAGGTGCCCTACAGCATGGAGGAAAGATTTATTTTTAAAGTGTGCCTCTTATGCAATACCAGAAATTCAATTAATTTGTAGAGTCAGAAAGATATTTGTTACCATATTCAAAGCTGCAATCATTACATATGTAATTATATAGCAAGCTAATGTAACAACGTCAGCAACAAAAAAAAGATTCATCATTCATAGGCACACTACAATACTGAAGAGAAACATGTGGTTGGAAAAAACTTCTTAAGGGGACTTAAGTAAGACCTTCACTGACCTGATTCTTTCTAAGTTGAAGAGATTTATCTATAACTAACAGTTTTGAGTTCAAAACAGCTAGATAAGGATAATCTCATGGCATAAAGTGAAAGGTATTCGTTTGTAAATTTTAAAAAATATTATATATATACAAAACAAACTTATATGTATTAGGTAAGGAACACCTGAGAACTCTAGAAAAATTTTCTGAGGATATTGGAGACAATTACGTGGAATGTAAATCTTTAAATGGACATATTCAAGCTGAAGTATGAGGAAGCAGAAATACTGGGTGTGTCAGACAGTGAGACAGGGAGAAGGCAGTAGAAAAAACAAAGTAGAAAGGAAATGAAGAGTTCATTCCTATATAAAAGAAAGAGAAGTTACAATAGTTAGAAGAAAAAAAGCAGGAGAGACTAGTTTTGCTAAGATGTAGAAAGAACACAACAGTAACACTGTTTCTAAGGCATACCTTTGGTCCTTAGGGATTTTTCAGATGGATCTCTCTCTGAATCAAGCCAGGTGGGGATTTTAGACTTGAGCCTTTGAGGCTCCACCCATCTGCCCTGGAGCCTGCCCTGTGGCAAACCTTCAACCCTTTCATCTCCAAGCTCTGGCCTCTTGCAGAGGTGACAGCAACAGACAACAGTGCACATTCCCCTGGGATACTGGGGGAAAAGCCAACAGAGAGAGGCCTTCTGCAATGCAGAGGGTAGGAGTTTCCAGACTGGGTCTGTACAACTTCTAACTTTGAGCTCGAGGATTCCAGAGAGATTACATAAATACTGGCAGCGTCCAATTCTCAAGCTGTATTTACATTCAGCACGTTTATATGAGTAAGTAGAAACCTGCTACTATTTTAACAATTAAAAAATTAACAGCAAACAATTTTACAGAATCTTTATTGTAAACAGAGGTCATTAATAGTTATTACAAACTGAATCAACTGAAAGTCAAATTGGTAACTCGACACATTTATAGGTTTATTTTTCTATGGCATAATTTGTAATCTTTGCCTCCTCAGTGCTTTAAAAAAGATTACTAAAATTATCAGCATTTCAATGTTCTCTTTTTTTTTTTGGTCAAGTTTAGCACCGTAACATTCTCATGATCTTTAAAAAAACTCACTCCAAACTAGGTAGAACTTCCATTTTTCATTCAAAACTATCACGTAGAACTTCCACTTTTCATTCAAAACTATCACACACAATTTGTTTTTTCAATGCAAAAAGAATACAAATAAGTATATTTTTAAATATTACAGAGCACACATACAGTCCCTACTGTGTATAGTTTTTGCATTCTTCCTACCTGCCCATTAGAGAGCCCCTAAGATACCTTGCTTTCATTTCATTTGTCCCCCATGTCATTATCATCCACCTCTGAAGGACTGTAGTTATTTAAACAAGCATGTGTCTGCCCCATCTCCGGGGATCCTGTCTTTGTCCTCTACCTCCCCCAAGTCTGTTGCTTGTCATATCAGCGCTTGATGGAGGGGAGGAATGACAGCAGAAGAGGCAAAGTTAACAATTCAGTTTATAGAAAAATAGCATCTGATGGTGAGAATGAGTAGCTGAGGCATTACTGTTATGCTAAACAGGTCACAGGTAAAATGGACAGTTTGTTCTTGTTCTGCTTCCCAGGGAATTTCCCAGGTCTACATTTCCATGAAAAAGCAAAAGCTACCTGTGAAGTGTCCTAAATTACTATACCTGTTACCTTAACAATCAGTTCTGTAAAAACATCAAAATATTCTCTCATGTCCAAAGCACTTAATGGAGATGTATCAAAAACAAGTATTTCTCAAAGAGGAGTAAAAATAGATTATTTCATGAATTACATTCAATAAATAATACTTTGTAACATAGTGTTCTGTGGTTTTTGTAAAAAATATTTATCTAAACAAACTTCCAAAACAAATCTAAATAGAGCAGACAAGTAATGAATGTAAAATTTACAAATACACTGAGCATCTGAACGAATATTCCAATGGATTTTTTCTGAACATTATTCAGATATTAAATGATACTGAATATATTCATATGGGCTCTGAATATCACTACAACAAATAACACCCAAAGGTCATAAATTTCACTCTCTTTTTTTCTTCACTTAAAAAATAACTTCACTCAGTAGTAGGTAGTAAGTCAATCTCTACTTTAGTATACTTTAATGACTACTCATAATCTCTAAAGTATTTGGTTTTTCTATCAGAGAGAACTTTGACAATATTGAATGCAAATTTTTTTTGTATCGATTTTCCTATCTATATCATTCAAACTGGCAAGGACAGAATGTTATACTTGAATGCAGAATGGGGTTATCTCTTCTGCCTATTTTACAGCACACTACTTTGAGGTCTCTCTTCCTGATGTCGTGTGTATCTTAATAATACCAGCGAGTTCCTTTCAGGTCAAATATAAAACACCTTAAAAATCAACTGGCTTGAGGGTTGTAAAACATTATAACGGTGGTGATGTTAGGAGCAGAGGTCAATCTCATACTTACGTGAAAATTACTTATATTATCTCCTGCATTAGTACCCTTTAGTCCAGTGCTTCCTGACTTTTTTCAAGGTACGGCACATATTAAAAAGGGTAATATTTGTCTGGCTTGCTGGGGTAAATCCACCAGCCATTCTGGGCCAGCAGGACTCGTCTGGGGCATGGCCTCCCCATGTCCCACTGTGCTGCCCCGAGGGCTGAGGGTATACATATCTTGGCAACCGTTTTACCCATTCAGGTACCCCAGTTGGGAAATGGGGGTAACCCACAACTAGGCCAATTTGATCTCTCTATAATATATTTTAGAATTGGCTTAAGAAAATTTAAAATCTGACAGTGATTGGTCAGTTTTTTGACTGAGATTGATTTATTTCCTTTTAATTAGAGTAAGCATACCTGTTTTTTTGTTTCTTATCTGCCTAGGTAAGTCTGAATTAGTCTTTGTTCATCTTTGCAGAGTTTTAAATAATTAAAACTCCAGCGCAGATAGTGAAAAGAATGCGGTATTTAGAAACAGGTTCACCTAGGTTTGAGTCAGACCTGAATTCCAATCCCAACTCTATTTCCTCTGTAACATTAGGCAAGTTTCTTAACTTCTCTGAACCTCAGTTTCCTAATGGGTAAACTGGGATAACAACACCTGCTTATAGAGTTGTGGTGTGAATTAGAGACATTCCATGTGCAATGCCTAGGACAATGCCTAGCACTGTAAGATGCTCGATACATGACAGCTATCATCATTTAACAGTTAAAGCTGAGATGGTGCTTTAATTTCTACCACACTGCGAGCACAATATTTACCAATATTTAATGAGTATACATTCTATTAGAGTATTTTCTTCCTAGTGCAAAACTAAGGAACCATAGTTTCTTACTAACTCCCATATGCGAAGTTCTTTAACGACCTCACTTGCATGTGAGAATACGGCTGAAAGTCAATGCACTAAAAATCTGTCTTTCCGGGCTTCCCTGGTGGCGCAGTGGTTGAGAGTCCGCCTGCTGATGCAGGGGATGTGGGTTCCTGCCCGGTCCGGAAGGATCCCACGTGCCGCGGAGCGGCTGGGCCCGTGAGCCATGGCCGCTGAGTCTGCGTGTCCAGAGCCTGTGCTCCGCAGCAGGAGAGGCCGCATCGGTGAGAGGCCCGCGTACCGCAAAGAAAAAAAAAAAAAATCTGTCTTTCCTCTTAGAAGCCAAAAGACAGAGCATGTAACATTTACTGATGGTGTACCTTTAAACGTCTTAAGTGGGTCTATCCCCATTAGTTACCAAAAGCTTACTTACAGTGAGTCTAAACAGTTGCTTCAGACCTTTAGCCTTTAGACAAGGAAAAGTGGCATTTTAAAAACACTTCTTTAAAGATTAATATTGATTGTATTCACTTCTCTTAATTGTTTTAGAGAACTGTAAATTGAAGATCAGTGCAACTTAATGAAATGTATTAGAATTTAGGCTCTCTGAGACTATTTTAAACATGGAGACTATATAATAGATACAGCAGTGCTCTGCAGATAAAATAATTACGAGTTATCACAAACTCTGTAAAAACATGATTTGCATGCCTACTCTGAAAAAAAAAAGTCAAGTCACGATCTGAACCTACTGACGCCCTCTCGGGTTCTTCTAGTGAGTGTCTCCACAGGGGTTGTCTGAGGTCTGGCAGCCCATGTTCTGGCCCGTCACCTGTACTTTGAAGAGGGTTCCGTCAGCGCACATACAGAGCTTGTAGCGCACCCAGTCACCACCACCAAACTGGTCTCCGCTGGAGGAACTAGGGAGGCGAGTTGTGCTGACCACCACAGTTCCATTCAGGATGATGCTGTTTTCCTATCAGGAGAAAACTCATATATGGCTTGTTTGCATCCACAAGTAGGGCGAGAACAAGATTAATAAACAACACTCACTGAAATATTAGCAAGAATAGAAGGCAGCAAGAAAAAGTCATGACCGAAACAACAACAACAAAAACCCCAAACCAATCAAAATTCACCTAGTGACCTCTTAGTAATTGTTCACAATGTATATCAGTACACTTGTTAACACAATTTATTTCTCAATTAGTTAAAAATTATATCAAAATTCCTAAGTGCACAATAAGACGAATACTGATAAAGTCTCAGATCATTTTCATTTATTATTTCCTAAGAGAGTTTTAACCAAGTTGCTGATTGATACATTTCTGACGCTAAGAAGAAAAAGACTGTTTTTCTCCTAGAGAAAAGTAATTTGAATTTCCAATGTTTTTGTGTGACACCATAAATGAAGATTCAAACCATACAATTTTGAAGCCCAGGCACTCAAAGAAAACTGCCTGGAAGTTCTCTTCTTCAAGCCCACTATCCCAGGAACATTCTTGTATTGCAGACCCTCTCTTTTTTGGAACTCCTAACACTCTCTCTCCCTTCTTCCCTTTTCTTCTTTTTATTCATTCAACAAATAATTATTAAAGGTCTCCTATGTGTCAGATACTATTCTAGGTGCTGGGAATGCAGTAGTCAACAGACAGGCAAAGTCCAAATCCCCATTTACTGGGGAGGAGCAGACAACAAACACCTGAAGAGGTAAAACAAACAGGACATCATCTGAGAAAAGCAAGTCAGGGTGAGTGGAGAGAGAGTGACCAGAGGATGGTCAGGGAAGGCCTCTCTGATAAGGTCACAGTCTGATGGAAACTGGATGACATGAGGGACTAGGGCATGTGGGTAACTGGGCAGAGGGAAGCACATACGCAAAGGCCCCAAGGTGAGGATGTGCCTTGTGTTCTAGGAACAGAGAGGAGGCCAGAGTGGTTGAAGGACAGAGAGAGGGAGTCGACTGGTAGGTAGGAGATGAGTCAAAGAAATAACTAGGGGCCAGACATATAAGGCCAGGGTATGGACTTTGGCTTTTATTCTGAATCAGACGGGAAGCCATTTGGAAGGTTCTGAACAGAGAAGTGACGATCTTTTTAAAAGGATCGCTCTGGCTGCTGTACAGAGAACTGAATACAGGGGTGAAAGACGAAGCAGGGAGACCACTTTGGAGGCTATTCTAGCAGTGCAGGCAGGAAACGATGCTGGTTTACACCATGGTGTGGTGGTGGTGGTGAGAATCAGCCAGACTCTGTACATCTTCTGAAGGTAGAGCCCAGAGGCTTTGCTGACGAAATAATGGGTACCATTTAACAAGATGGGAACACTGAAAGAAATGCATGTTTGGGGAGGGAAGGAGGATATGAAGACTTTAGACTTGTTGAGTTTGAGATGCCTATTAGATATTGAAGTGGACAGGTAAGAAGGCAGCTGGATATGTGAATCTTACTTAGTTCAGAGGAGAAAGAAGGAGTTCCAAAGTTGAGAGTCATCAGCTTATAGAGGGTATTTAAAGCAACGAAAGTTGATTATGAAGTAATGGAAACGGCTAACTGACTATGTAGTGATAGTATATGGAATTTTCAAATTTTGTTCTAACGCTGCCATCTTGTGGTTATGTAATTTTACTTTCTTTAAACTGCTAAAGTAGGTTTTTTTTTTTTTAATTGAAGTATAGTTAATTTACAATATTGTGTTAGTTTCAGGTGTACATCAAGGTGATTCAGTCATATATATATTTTTTCAGGTTATTTTCCATTATAGGTTATTAAATTCTTGTTGCTTATCTGTTTTATATATAGTAGTTTGTATCTGTTAATCCCATTCTCCTAATTTATCCCTCCCTGCCTTCCTTTCCCCTTTGGTAACCATAAATTTGTTTTTAATGTCTGTGAGTCTGTTTCTATTTTGTATATAGATTCATTTGTACTGTTTCTTAGAGTCCACATATAAGTGATATAATATTTGTCTTAGCAGTTTTTTTTAAAAAGCAGTTTGATTGATAAAATTCTTTCTAATGACTAGCCATACACTTAAAAACTAACCTCTGATATTAGCTGAATTATAAAGCTAATTATCTTTTCCATACTGGTTTATTTTTTTTTAACTGTGGAGAAACTGATATGTGTGTATATGTATTTCAAAGTATGTCATATTAACAACAGGTAGAATTTTCAGGTAGAAAAACTTAAAAGATTTAGGTGACTTGCTAATGGTTATAAACAAATCAATCACATCTCTTGCTGCTTTGAGTTTCTGATGCAGAGAACAACAGCCCCACTGTGACCATTCTTCAACACTATTATTCTCTCAGAGGAATGGCTTCTCTCTACAATGTATGCAAACAATACTCAGCACTACTATTGAGTTTCTGGCAAGAATCACATTTTATGTTCATGTTTATTATTTAGAGATTGGAACATATTCTTCAGGGGGAAAAGATATTTATGAAAGTGAAAGAACTTAATTTTTTAAAGTTTTTTCCTTCAAGAACTATGATTAAATTTTTTAAAAGGAAAGAACTATTTTATAAGTCCTTAGGTTTAACTTTTGTCATTTAATACTTAGTAGCACAAATTTAATTAGCTTTAATTAGGTAGCATAGAGCAGATGCCCAAAGACATTTTGAATAAATATACTTTGATCAGAATTGTGAGCAGGGAAAATGTTTTCGAACTTATGGCCCCCTTAAATGAAATATGTTACTTATTAAAGTTCAGATATAATCTGTGAGGCACAAAGAAAAGTTTACTTTTCAACAGGTATAATAAAGGCAAAATCTTTTTCCTTTACAATTAATAATAGATGTATAATTAAAAATACATTTAATATATTTGCTAATTGATTTTCACATCACTAGACACAAAACCCATGAAGAGATGTGAAAAATCTTTAACTGAAAAAAACCCTATCAACTTCAGGGCATGCATACTGAGAATTCTCTTTTGGAAGCTTTTTGCTTGTTTGTTTGTTTGCCTTTTAAAATAACACAGGCATCATTATGCAAAAAAAAAAAAAATTCAGAAAATAACAGGCAAACAGAAATAAAATGAAAATCATCTGTTACCCTGCTACCCATAACTAACCATTGTTGACATTTTGGCATACCCTTCTAGGTTTCTATAAACATACACATAATCTGAAAAATAAAGATGAGATATTTCACAGATTGTTCTATAACTTTCTTTCACTTCATAATGCACTTTGAACATCTTTTCATGTCCGAAAAATACAACTACATTATCATTTTTCGTAACTCTTTTTCCACATAAGGACTTATGTACCCAAGAATCTAATAATTCTCTTAAAATCAAAAAATACTCACAGCCTTTAACTCCATATTACCACCCATGCGAAATTCAATGGTTTTGCCCATAATGAATACTCCTTCATTTCCACGCACAATAGCACGCCCATCAACTTTTATATTTAAATCACTAGTAGCATTGCTGGTAATCTGAAGATTAAAAAAAAAAGTAGTGATGAAGAGTTTCTAAATTAAAGTGAGGATTATTATTAGAGATAGAGGAGGAGGCGTTTCAACGACAAAATATGAAAGCAAGTGTTTTAATTCACATTTCACACATGTAGAGATAAAGAGAGATGATTTGATAATGGTCACATAAACTAGTTGATGACAAATCTAGAACTAATCCTTTCCGCTGCTCTGGAGTCACTTCATTCATAGCATTTTATCAGTAAAGCTGCCCCTGCCCCCCACCTCACACACTTTGTAACTTTAGATAATAATTCTCTTCCATTAATAAAAGCAAGGAAAATAAATCATACCCTTTCAGTAGATGCTTTTTGAACATTCAAACTTTTCACTCCACTTGGCAAACGAAACTCATGAGTTTCATAGTCTGTGCTGAATAAGATATTTTGAGTCCTTGGGTCGAAAAACTGCACACCAATGTCACTTATGATAGAAGTTTTGTTCTTTTCTACACTGAGCTTTGTCGTCCCTTGCTGAAAAACAATCTTCAGAAAAACACTTTATCATGAATATGTTTTCGAACAAGACTGCATCCAAAATTCATCAAGAACATTCTAAAAAAACTCTACAATAGCAGGCTTAACTCCTAATGATTTTAACTGCCTCTCTCTGACTCCCTCCACCCACTTGGGAGAAGAGTCCTTTAAAACGAGGGCTTAACATGCTTATTTGCTGTAATGCTTGGCAGACACAGATGGTCGCAGAGCACAGGGACCCAGAGCTAAGATGGGCAGGGGCAGTAAGGATGCCTCCTTGAGGTTCTGGTCAGTTGAAAACCTACGTTATAGTAGCCACTTGACAGGGGTTGCCACTGACTAGACTGGCATATTCTCTTCCAGACTCCCAGAGAGTAGAGGGTATTCTAACCTGGGAAGGTGCTTTTTTAAATGGTTTCCTCATATGGAGGAGAAAAGAGTAAACTATGTATTCTTACAGTAATTATATCTATCCCAGAAAATGCTACCATGGGACAAAATCTAGAATATTAAGAAAGTATCTAACAGTAATAGATGGATGAGAAGACCAACAATATTATTAAATATATTATGAATTTTCTTTAAAGGAAAATATCCATTTCCAGTAATCAACTCTAGGTTTTTACGAAGAATTTTTCCTCTAATGTTCCCCAATTAATGTGGTTACTTACAGGTTGGTTGTTGCCAGTGATGACTAAATTTTCATTTCGCCTTCCTCCTACTGTGCTCTTATAAAGAGGGTGTATAACTCCCATGTCAGACACTTGCTTAAATCGAAGCAGGCCACTTTCATGAAACTCCATGCTGTCACAGCCATTTGGTCCAATGCGAATCACAGCCCAGATAACAAGTGTTACCTAAAAAAGAAATCAAGCCCACTGATAATAGGTAGCATACATTTAACATAATCAGTAAACAAATAGGAAAGGTAGTTGCTAAAGGATTAAACTTCCTAAAATGTTTCATCAGTGAGATGAACACATCAATTGGGTTTCCACTTACAAACAAAACCAATTTTATTTTTATCAAGGTATTACATACCAATAACTAAAAGTCAAAAAGTGCTAAAGGTGGGCTTCCCTGGTGGCGCAGTGGTTGAGAGTCCGCCTGCCGTTGCAGGGGACACGGGTTTGTGCCCCGGTCCAGGAAGATCCCACGTGCCGCGGAGCGGCTGGGCCCGTGAGCCATGGCCACTGAGCCTGTGCGTCCGGAGCCTGTGCTCCGCAACGGGAGAGGCCACAACAGTGAGAGGTCCACATACCGCCAAAAAAAAAAAAAAAAGTGCTAAAGGTTCTATAATTAAAAAAAAAAGATTAGTTTATTTCTTCTACCTCCCCTATACCTCGTCCCAGAACAACCACTTTCAACAATCTTAGCCGTTTCGTCTAGAATTTATCTCCATATTTCTAAATAATAAGTATATGTTATTTCTTCACTGATCAATTTTAGGTTGTATCTATCAATTTCCTATTTTAGCAGATGAGAATTTTAGCTCATTTATATTTCTTCTCCTCCAACTCCAATCTCAAGTTTTGGTTAAATCCACGTTCAGTATTTTCAGTATTACAACAATGTAAATATTGTTCACTGCTAAGGCAAATACTGCACTATGATGGCAGTTCCCTTCTTGTACTTTGTGTCTTTCAGAGTTTAATATTTGTCCTTCTTTCATTTGCTTAGTTTCTTTGAAAATCAGACTAAGTTTTTTCAAACTCTCCAACATTTCTGTAAAATGTCTCTCAATAAAATGTTCTAAAAGTCCAAACCTCCCAGAAAATGTATTAGCTCTATTTGCCTCTCCCAGGAAATCTTTCCGGAACGAACCCTCATCTTCTTGCTCCAGTCTGAGCTCCTGCCCTCTGGGTCTGTCGCACGGCTATAACCACGAGCTTTCCATTCACTTTCATGCTGGAACTTCCTTTCATCTTTCTCCCATGCAGGATACCCAGTTTCCGGTATCCTTGTCTTCAACATTCTCGGTTTAGTACCTTCTTTTGGTAGAGCACATTGTCCCGGGGCTTCTTTAAAAAGAATGTATGTGAAATATTTTTTGAGAGTGTGCGTGGCTAAAACAATGTCTCTGTAATTCCTCACGTTTGACTGAGAGTTTAGCTTGGTATGCATTTCTAGATTTGAAATTATTTTCTCTCTGAATCTTGAAGGTCCTTGCTTTCTTGCCTCCTAGTTTCCAGCACTGCTTTTGACAGGGTCCGATGCCACTCTGATTTTGTGTTCTTTATACAAAACCCGTTTTTTTAATTCTCTGGAAGAGTTTAGGATCATCTCTTTATTCCTGGTCTTCTTAAATTTCACAGTAATAGCCTTGGTGTGAGTCTTTTTTTTTTATACAGATGCTGGATCCAGAATGGTAGTTTTCAACCTGTCCTAGGAATCTTTCTTGGTTTATTTATTTGATAACTTTCTTCCCATTGTGTTTTTTCTTCTCTCTTTCTAAAACTCCAATTAACAGAATGTTCCTGGATTCATTCTTTAATTTAGTTGAACTTTGTGGAAGATTTTCTTTTATCTTCCAATGTCTATCTATCTATCCATCCATCCATCCATGTATGTGTATTTCTATGAGTTCTTCCATATTCTTTAACTGCTTCTTTTTAATGGCACAGTATCCTTGTTTAATGGATGCAATATCCTCTGACTTCTCTGAAGCTATTGATTGTGTGCTTTAATTCTTTTAAGTTTCCTGTCATTTGTTGCACTTTCTCCATTTCCCTGAATGCCCACTTTCCCCATGGTTTGGGTGCTTTTGGTCTCAATCATTTCTCAATTCTGGGAGCTTTCCATAAAAATCTACTGATCCCTGGTGGCTCTGTGTTCATAGTTAACAGAGCGGTTATAAAAAGTTCAGGGAAAGTTCTCTGGGTGGGGTGGCACTTGTGACTGACAGGCTTCACAGTAGGGAGATTAGGTGGCTTTTTCACAGGGACCTGCCAAGTGTATCTTCAGGTTTTTTCTCTATGTTCTTCAGTTTCTCCAGAGCAGGCTATTTTATCTCTTGCTGCGGGATGTAAGGCTGGTACAGGGAGCTGGAGCTGGAGGATGAGGATACGGGAGCCTCAGTGCTCAGGATACAGACTTTCCTGCCTTCAGTGTGGAAACCCATCCCTACCCTCCTCTTGGCAATATCCTCAGGCAGAAAGAATCCCCTCTGGTTCAGTGTGGGGTTAGGAGGGCTGGCTGCCTAACTGCTGCCTGGAAGGAGAGGGAGGCTGGGGATTGCATGCCTTCTTCTATGGACTTTTCAAACAAGCTCTCTGTTTTCAGTTCCCCCTTCACTCCTACTTTTCAAGGCACTTGTACTTCCAGTTCCTGAGGCTTTTCAGGATTCTGCAAGACACTTCCACCAATGCCCCCTGCAACCCTCTCCCCCAACATGCAGTTTCTCTTCTCTAGTAAGTTATTTGCCACTCCTCCTCCTTTTTGTCTTCATATATTACGGTTCAGGATTTCGGTTGCCTCCCACTTTCTTCCAAGGTATTTCTGATTCTTGACATTGTCACCTAAGGATCAGCTTTTAAAGCAGAAGGGGATGAAAATGTCTTTTTTTTTTTTGCCATCTTAACCATAACTTTCCAAAAAAATAAATTTCTAAAATAAAATAAATTCAGAACATGTGCTCCTAGTAAAGCTATTTACAGTATCAGCTCTTTTTGATTTAAGTGAAGAATTAGACACAAATGTTTTGGATGTACATAAAATACAATGAACTGGTTTGAGAGTATTAGAAGTAAAAAAATACAGTAGTAAGTGAAATTACGTTAGAACTGCTGCATCCATGTTCATGATTGGTCTCAGGGATACCAATAATCACTCTCTGAAAATATCTATCCACACACATGCCAGAGGGGTTCAAATTTAACCCCTTTCTTTAAGAAAGCAAATATCTTTGGAAAAGGCAACACACCAGTTCCTCACACCTTAGTGTAAACCAGTCTACCTCATATCCTTTCATTCTTTTATAACAGAGATTTAGGACTACAAAATATAACGCTTTACTGCCATCCAAGGTTTACAATTTTAAAATCTAGCTGAGGAGGCAAGAGCAAATTTTGGAAAAGTTGAATGAAAACAGGAAGGAGTATATTTTTAGGAGAGATGAAGGCAGTAAAATCATCTTGGCAAAGGTCTCTTCTATTGAGTTGACTCTAACCTTTTAAAAGTTGTCTTTTATTTTTATTTTATTTTTTAAAATTAATTAATTAATTAATCAATTATTTTTGGTTGCATTGGGTCTTTGTTGCCGGCGAGCAGGGGCTACTCTTCGTTGCGGTGTGTGGGTTTCTCATTGCGGTGGCTTCTCTTGTTGTGGAGCACGGGCTCTAGAACACAGGCTCAGTAGTTGTGGCGCATGGGCTTAGTTGCTCTGTGGCATGTGGGATCTTCCCGGACCAGGGCTTGAACCTGTGTCTCCTGCATTGTGGGAAGCCCTAAAATTTAAGTCTTTTAAAGGAAAGAGTCTATGAACATTTTTTTCTAAATAAAATTAGTGCATGGCAATATTAACATACTAAGTTTTCATATAGAAAATATTCATTAAAATTCAATAAGAGATAAAACATATACAGGCATACTTTAGAGAAATTGTGGGTTTGGTTCCAGATAACAAAAATAAAGCCAATATTGCAATAGAGCAAGTCCACACAAACTTTTTTGGTTTCCAAGCGCATATAAAACTTATGGCTACACTATACTGTAGTCTATTACGTGTGCAACAGGATTATGTCTAAAAAAACTATGTATAGGGAACTCCCTGGCAGTCCAGTGGTTAGGACTCGGCGCTCTCACTGCCGGGGTCCCGGGGTTCAATCCCTGGTTCGGGAACTAAGGTCCTGTACAAGCCATGCGATGCGGCTGAAAAAACCAAAAAACCAAAACCCCAAAAAACCAATGTACATACCTTAATTAGAAAATACTTATTTTGCTAAAAAATGCTAACCATCACCTGAGCGTTTAGCAAGTTGTAATCTCTTTGCTGGTGGAGGGTCTTCCCTTGACGCTGATGGCTGCTGACTGACCAGGGTGGTGCTCACTGATGGCTGGGGTGGCTGGGGCCATTTCTTAAAGTGAGACCACAATGAAGTCTGCTGCACTGACTCTTCCTTCCACGAACGGTTTCTCTGTAGCATGTGATGCCGTTTGATAGCGTTTCAGCCACAGTAGAACTTCTCTCAAAATTGGAGTCAATCCTCTCAAATCCTGCCACTGCTTTATTTAATCTCTTTCTTTTTGTAGGGGGTATCTCACAGATGTGTCTATTCGTGCTCGAGGACAGCGGCACTGCTACAAGTGTGCGTGATGTCCCACATTCCCACAGTACAGCCAGACCGATGTCCCATCCAAGTAAAGCTGGTTAATGATGACCATGAGCAGGCGCAGGACTGGAAGCTTTCAAGGCTTTACTGCTTTTATCAGCACTCCTGTTTTATAAACGATGAAGCCCGTCAACCCCACTCCGACCCAAATCTCCTGGTAAACTTAGGTACAGCAGGGCTTCACGGAGATGCAAACATTCTTAAGGCTTGGAAGCAGCTCAGGCAGCCCCTGCCACTGCCTTATCAACTAAGTTTATGTAATAGTCTAAATTCTTCATTGTCATTTCAATAATCTTCACAGCATCTCCACCAGGAGTAGATTCCATTTCAAGAAAACACTTTCTTTGCTCATCCGTAAGAAGCAACTCCTTATCCTTTAAAGTTTTTTCATGAGATTGTAGCAATTTAGTCACATCTTCAGGCTCCACTTCTAATTCTAATTATCTTGCTATTTCTATCACATCTGCAGTTACTTGCTCCACTGAAGGCTTAAACCCCTCAAAGTCATCCATAGGGCTGGAATCAACTTCTTCCAAACTCCTGTTAACTTTGATATTTTGACCTCTTCCCAAGAACTGCTAATGTTCTTAATGGCATCTAGAATGATGAATCCTTTCCAGAGGCTTTTCAACTTACTTCACCTAGGTCCATCAGAGGAATCATAATCTATGGCAGCTATAGCTTTAAAAAATGTATTTCTTAAATAATAAGACCTGAAAGTCAAAATTATTGCTTGATCCGTGGGCTGCAGAATGGATGTTGTGTTAGTAAGCATGAAAACAACACTAATCTCATTGTACATCTCTATCAGAGCTCTTGGGTGACCAATGCATTGTCCATGAGGTGTAATATTTTGAAAGAAATCTTTTTTTTCTGAGCAGTAGATCTTAAAAGTGGGCTTAAAATATTCAGTAAACTATGTTGTAAACAGGTGTGCAGTTATCCAGATTTCATTGTTCCGTTTATAGAGCACAGGCAGAAGTAGATTTAGCATAATTCTTATGGGCCCTAGGATTTTCCAAATGGCAAATGAGCACTGGATTCAACTTAAAGTCACTGGCTGCCTTAGCCCCTAACGGAGAGTCACCCTGTCCTTTGAAGCTTTGAAGCCAGGCACTGACTTCTCCTCTCTAGCTATGGAAGTCCAAGATGGCATCTTCTTCTAATAGAAGGCTGTTTTGTTTGCATGGAAAATTTGTTGTTTAGTGTAGCCACCTTCATTACTTATCTTAGCAAGATCTTCTGGATAAGCTGCTGCAGCTTCTACATCAGCACTTGCTGCTTCGCCTTGTACTTTGATATTATGGAGACGGCTTCATAGCATGAAACCTTAAACCTCATGAACCAGCCTCTACTAGCTTCAGACTTTTCTTCTGCAACTTCCTCACCTCTCTCAGCCTTCACAGAATTGAAGAGAGTTAGGGCGTTGCTCTGGATTTGTCTTTGACTTAAGGGAATGTTGTAGTTGGTTTGATCTTCTACCCAGACCAGTAAACCTTTCTCCATATCAGCAATAAGACTGTTTTGCTTTCTTATCATTCATATGTTCCCTAGAGTAGGACTTTTATTTCCTTCAAGAACCTTTCCTTTGCATTCGCAAGTTGGCTAAGTATTTGGCGTAAGAGGCCTAGCTTTCAGCTGATCTCAGCTTTTCACATGCCTTCCTCACTAAGCTTAACCATTTCTAACTTTTGTTTAAAGTGAGGGACACCTGCAACTCCTCCTTTCACTTGAACACTTAGAGGCCATTGTAGGGTTATCTCAGGGAATAGGGAGGTCCGAGAAGAGGGAGAGAAACGGGAGCGGCCAGTCAATGGAGCAGTCAGAACGTACGCAACATTTATCAATTAAATCCACCATCTTACCTGGATGTGGTTAGTGGCAACCCCAAAAACATTACAATAGTAACTTTAAAGATCACGGATCACAGATCACCATAACAAATATACTAATATTGAAAAAGCTTTAAATATTGTGAGAATTACCAAACTGTGACATGGAGACTGAAGTGAGCAAATGCAGTTGGGAAAATGGCACCGACAGATGTGCTTGATGCAGGGTTGCCACAACCTTCAATTTGTAAAAAACGCAGTATCTGCAAAGTGCAAGAAAGCTATGTGATAAAACACGGTATGCCTGTATAGAAAAGCAGAAAGAGGGTCCTGAAAAAAATGACAGGAAGAGAGTCCATGATTTGACTAAAAGACAGAAGAAAAATTCCCCATGGTAATTAAGAATATTCTGTACTAAATACTCACAATTAAATTGATGACAGCCAGAATAAACAGGAGGATAATCACACAGATGGCTAAATTGCCCTTTCTCCCTCTCAGTCCCGTTTTATGCAGGCGATCTTCATCAATTGGAATATACCCGGCTTTAAAGTTACTGTTGTGCTCTTTATTGACATTCCTTCTTTCAACAGCCTTCTCACGCATGGACTTCTTTACAGGACCATTGGAACTTTGCTAAAAACAAAATACAACACAATGGAGCAGCTATACCCTCTCTTTTTGATGCATTTATTTGTTAGGTGCAAATTCATAACTAAAGGAAGCTGAATTGGATAGTGATATATTTTCCACCAATAAACCTCAAGTCATGTTGAGCTGCAGGCTCCAAGTAAGAACATGACTGTGCTGAGAAGGGTCATAGAGAAGAACCTTCAGTGTGACCATCTGATAACATATTTCTACTGTCTGCTTTGAATAGTCCTACCGTCAGTAAACTGAACAGCTAGCTCATTTGGGGGAAGAGTTAACATACACATTCTACAGTGGGTAACCTTGTTTTAATTAATGATTTATAACGATTTGTTTAATTGTATATAGTTTTTCATTTATATGAAAATAATTTGGAAAGGCTAATATACTTTATTCATCACTCCAAATGGCTAAAGTTAACATTATCCTAGACAAGCAGTTTTCAAAATACGGGCTGGGAAGCGCTGGAGGGGTCCCCTGAACTCTTTCAAGTGTCTGGAGGGTGCAAATTATTTTCAAAATAACACTAAGATGTTATTTTCTTTTTTTACTCTTCTTCTCCCATGAATATGCAGATGACACTTGAACAACATGGATTTAAACTGCATGGGTCCACCTATACATGGATTTTTTTGTGTGTGTGTGTGTGGCATGCGGGCCTGTCACCGCTGTGGCCTCTCCTGTTGTGGAGCACAGGCTCCGGACGCGCAGGCCCAGCGGCCATGGCTCACGGGCCCAGCCGCTCCGCGGCATGTGGGATCTTCCCGGACCGGGGCACGAAAACCCGTGTCCCCTGCATTGGCAGGCGGACTCTCAACCACTGCGCTACCAGGGAAGCCCTATACGTGGATTTTTTTCAGTAAATGTACTGGAAAAAAATTTGGAGATCTGCAACAATTTGAAAAAACTTGCAGATAAACTGTGTAGCCTAGAAATATCAAAAAAATTAAGAAAAAGGTGTGTCATGAATGCATAAAATATATGTAGATACATAAGTTTAGTGATATTTAATATAAAATTAATAATGCTAGTTTTCTTACTGTTTTATAACTTTGCTTTCAAAGAATTACATTACTGTACAGTCTCTCTCTCTCATAACTGGAAAAATTGTGTATCAGCCTATCATCCCATGTAACTGGTTTTTTAAAAAAGATATTATGAATATGACTGTGATACTCTATGCCATAAAAAATCTTATTACGATGCTTTCATTAGTGTATAGGTAAGGCTACTGTGAAGGAATTGTACTGATTACACGAGGCTACTGTAAAGCAACCATACTGCTGCTTCTTCGTTATCAATGCATGAAACGTTATGCACGTAAATAAATATGAATTTCTTTTCCACATTATCTTTTCATTTTTGATGTCCAGTGTTAGTAATATGTATAACATCTACAGTGTTTTGTACCATATAAGACAATATTGATGTAGGTGCTGACATGATTCATCTTGTAAACAGATGACATAAATTTATGGTATCGATAAAGACAGTACAGTACTGTAAATGTATTTTCTCCTTCCTTATGATTTTCTTAATAACATTTTCTTTCCTCTAGCTTACTTTATTGTAAGAATACAGTATATAACAAATATAACATACAAAATACATGTTAATTGACTGTTTAGGTAACCAGTAAGGCTTCTGGTCAACAGCATTCTATTAGTTTAGGTTTTGGGGGAGTCAAAAGTTATACGTGAACTTTTGACTGTGTGGGGATCAGCGTCTCTAACCCTTGCGTCATTCCAGGGTCAACTGTACAGTGAAGCTTCCAGAGGCTACATGACCATATGTGATGACACCATTGCTCTAACAGCTAATGGAATGTGTGTTTGTATACTCCTGTGTTTACAAAATTTCCCAATTTAAATTTCTAATATGGTAAATATCAACAGATATAACCCACATAAACAAAAGCTCTTTGGGATTCTCAGTCATTTTTTTTTTTGCGGTACGCGGGCCTCTCACTGCTGTGGCCTCTCCGGTTGCGGAGCACAGGCTCCGGACGCGCAGGCTCAGCGGCCATGGCTCACAGGCCCAGCCGCTCCGCGGCATGTGGGATCCTCCCGGACTGGGGCATGAACCCGCATCCCCTGCATTGGCAGGCGGACTCTCAACCACTGCGCCACCAGGGAAGCCCCCTCAGTCATTTTTAAGAGTATCAAGATGGGAACTTCTCTGACAGTCCAGTGGTCAGGACTTTGCCTTCCAATGCAGGGGGTACAGATTTGATCCCTGTTCGGGAAGCTAAGATCCCACATGCCTCATGCCAAAAAACCAAAACAGAAGCAATATTGTAACAAATTCAATAAAGACTTTAAAAATGGTCCACATGTTAAAAAAAAAAAAAAAACTTAAAAAAAAAAGAGTATAAAGAGAACCTGAGACCAAAGAGTTTGAGAACTTCTGACTTTCGACTATGGTTGAAAGTCATTTTAGGTAATAATCTGGTACATCATGAACACAAAAGGAAGGAGTAGAATGGAATACTGCCCAATTTTCATATTTTTCAGAGCTCTGAGAAAATTAATTTATTGAATAGGCATTTATTAAGCACTTTATGCTTAAACACTAATACTATAAATAGGAATACAAAAGAAATATAGGACAAGATCCTTATCCTCCAGATATTACAAATGTGATTTGGGTACACAAAACAGTTAGCAATGCAATAAAATGTTCTGTATGTTCGGATGCCAAAATCAATAGTTGAGACAATACATCCTGTGGAGTTCATAGGAGAAGAGACAGGAGGGCTTGGAGTTGTCAGGGAAACCAGGAGGAGTAGGTGGGTCAAATCTGGCAATGAGGGCAGAATCAAGTTGGAAATGGAGAATAGGTTGTGAGTTTTTGGACATCTGGGTACAAACTCTAGTCTTTATGTCTGCTGATTTGGGAGTCACTGGAAGTCTCTGAAGATGAATGACATACGTTTCAGGATGCTCAATGTGTGGGCATTTGTAGGAGACACGGGAAAGAGGAAAACCAATAAGTAGGCTGTTGGGATGCTGTGGTAATGGAGGCCTGAAGTATTGAGGGCCTAAACTAAGGTGGGATGAAAAAGGATAGATTTAAAATATACTTCAAGAGAAGAGTTAAGTGAATTTGTAGCACGTTAAAAAAAAAGCCCCTCATGTTTACTGAATGGTGACTATTTAAATATGGGGAATGAAGCAGGGAGAAGATTTTCCACATGTTGTATTTGAACTGACTGAGAAATAACCACCTGCCTTAAAGGCAACGGGAAGGATGGGATGGGGTATTAGGTCGGTCAGGACTAGAAATACAGATTTGAGAGTCTTCACCTTCAAGGTAAATTAAATCTATGAGACCACATGAGTTTGCTGTAAAAAACACTATAGAGGAAGAGAATAAAAAGCCAAGGATGTACCTGTGGAAAACTTTAAATGTGCAGGAACAGTGGAAAATGAGACATACAAGAAAACTACGGATGTGCAGTGTTGCTGAACTTGTCAAGAAGTGCCTCTGTGACTTTCAAATACGAACTCTGAGCAGCAAATTGGTAAGTAGGGATAGTCCTGAAAGGATGCCAGCATGTATGCATTTATTTTCGAGTCCAGAAAGACAGAAGTGTTAAGACAGAAGACTAAAGAATTATGTACTGTCGGAGGAAAATTGTGCTTGTTCTTGTTGTTGTTAGTATCTCTTCATCCTCTCCTCACAACATTTTGCAGGAAGACTTGTATGTTTGATGGCAGAGGGAATGATGCCAAGAAGGGCAAAGGTCAAAGACCTCAGAGTAGGGCAGAATAATGAGGGAAATGAGATCTTTCAGGAGATAGGAAAGAAAAGTGATAACACAGGAGAAACCAGTCTTAAAGGGTGCGTTCCCACCTCACTGAAATGGTTCACACCAAGAAGAGAAAAAAAAAAAAATTCTTCTTTTCCCTGGGGATGTAATAGGCAAGGTCATCTGCCGAGAAAGAGTGGAGAGGGCAGCTGGAATCTTATTGTGGTGGCACGGGTAGCAGGCTGGTTGAGGGCTTATGGAAAATGGAAAAAGACAGGAATAATCATTGTGAGTAATGCGGCAGGCAAAAATTTTAAAATTCTACAAAGCGGTAAGAAAGGCTCTGTAGAAGATAATTCAATCTACTCAACAGATTTAACACAAAACAAGTCGTTGAATACAGTTGTGTAGGTTGTATATCTGCACGGGGTACAACAGCTACGAGGGTGCATTGACACTCAAACATTTTAGAGTGGAACATGCATTGTGACAGCCGAAAGCAGTAAAATATCTTAGGGGAAGCGTGCTTGCTTCTCATGTTCACAGACACAGTATGGGTTTATGACAGTGCTGACAGGTGGGCAATTTAAAAATCTTAGCCAGAGTTTGAATATAGGTCTACATAACAGAGAGCCAGGGCAAAACTTACCCTCCTGAGATGCACTCTTTAATTTTCTCTGCCAATTCCTGTTCATTTGATGCACTTACCATTTATGGGAGTTACTATATGTCAGAGGCTCCGGACTACCAAGATGAGCAAGGTAGAGCGGCTACCCTCAACAAACTTACCTATAGGCCAGCAGAGTAGATGGACAGGGTCACTAGCAACTGCAGTTCAACACGGCAAGTGCTGTCGTACAGCAATGCACACAATACTGAAAGAGTGCGTAAGAGGAATGCCACGCGACTTAGTGAGCAGGGGCATCAGTTGAAGCTTTTTAAGAAAAGTTGGGGCTTCAGTTGAATCTTGAAGGACAAACAGGAGTTAGCCAAGCAAAGTACAGAGAAAGGCATTCCAGGCGGAGGGAACAGCATGGGAACTTTGAGTATAAGTCATCTCTGCAAACTAATTTTGGTAGCTTTATGAGGATGGTGAAGAGGATGAGTATAGGAATGGGACAAAACTTGAGGTGAGATGTGGTTAGGGGCTAGAAAACGAGTGGACGTAAGTATCACATCTAGAATGATGAATTTTATCCTGAAGGCAATGGGGAACTACTGAAGATTTCAAATAGGTCAGTGATATAATCAGATCTGCATTATAGCAAAATCAAACCAAAAAGAGATGAACTGGAATAGAAGAGTTTAGAGATGGAGATTTCAACAACAGGTTTCTCTAACAGTCCAAATGAAGGCTTGACTGAGCTTTGGCGCTGCAGATGAAGAGAATATTGGGGAGAAGCCTTAAGAGGTAGAACCGAAAGGACCTGATGATTGACTGGGTGTGAGTGTGACTTAGAGGCATCTAAGATGACTCCCAAGTAGGACCCGCTACATAATTTGTGGGGTCCAGAGCAAAAAGAAAATGTGAGGCCCTTTGCTCAAATATCAAGCTTGGGACAGCATAGCATTAAACCAAATGTGGGTCCCTTCTGAGTTCCCTTGAGCCCGCCCTGCTCCCAAATTTGTGGCGAGGTGAACCGAGTTGAATGGATGGCTGTAACCCTTTTAATGGTGCATATGATCCAATCCAACATTTTTGAGTTTGGGGTGCCTGTGGAAAATTCAGTTCAGTTCAGGCTGGAGACATAAACGCCTAACTCTGAAGCAGAGATTGAGGAATGGATCAGATTGCCCGGTGCAGGTGTAAAGCAAGAAAAGAAGTTCAGTGGAACTTCAAGCGCATTAACAGGTGATGCAGATGAAAAAAGAACCATCTAAAATGGGCACTGATAAATCAGGAGGAAAGCCAAGGGACAATTTTAATCTCAACAACGTCAAGAAGCTTTGTCTCCTTTCAATTTCACTCATTCCTTTAGATTTTATTTTATTGTTAGGACCTGTAGCTTGCCTACCATCTTTAGCTGATTTTTCTGCATTTATCTGTCAGTTTGACTTTAAGCTTTGAAGGCAGGTGTCATGTCTTTTATTTTTTATGTCCCTCAGAATGACTGTTCCAGTGATATCTATCTACTATGTCTCTAAAAGCTGTTAATTGCCTAAGAAAATCTTTCCAGTTCTGGAAACAGAATGTTGGCTACTTGACTTGTGTATTTTTTCAGCAGTGTTGAAGAATGAGACTTTCCCAAAGAAACTATCATACCACATTTTCTTTTTGAAAGGAAATAACAGTTAAGGGGAAAAAGTAGCTATCAAAATTATATTTATTATAACAAATCACCCTAGTAACTACAGGTATGTATATATGTGTGTGTGCATGTGTGCCTATGTATAGCTTGCTTTTTGTAAGAAAATAGCCTTTTAAACTATTATTCTAAGTTACCCGTTTACAATGCAGATCAGGAAATACTTGATAAAGCATTTAAAAAAATGATTTTAAACCAACTGGATAGGAGACAGTTTTATATTGGTGACTGTCTCCAAAAACCAAAGCGGGAGGAGAAACGTGGATGTCAGCATATGGGGATGGCACACACGAAGGGGCTGCAAGCTGACACCCAGGCAACAGCTGAGTGTTTCTTGGCTGGTGTCAGGGGAGGCTCTTGGATCGCTGGCTGGGGTTATTTTTGCCTGCATCTTCGCTGGCCACCGAGCAGGGCACGTCCCCGGCACGACCGGGCCCAGGCTCCCGGCTGCCACGGCCGCCTCCCGGGCCCTCAGGACAGCGACCCCTCCTCACCTCGCCGACGGACAGCCAGGCCAGGCCGAGGGCCGGGGCCGGCTCCTCCTTCTCCGCCCCGGGGCCCCTGCCTGGGGTCCCGCCCGGCCTTTGCCAGCATCTCGGACTGCGGACAGCTCCTCCCGCCCCGCCCCACCCCGCGGAGTCATCCCCGCCGGCCCTAGGCGGGCCCCGCCGGCAGCACCCCGGCCTCCGCTGGCCCTCCAGCGCCCGGCCGCGGCGGGGCTCACAGACCTGCTCGGCTGCCGCCACCGCCGCAGCAGCCGCCGCCGCTGCCGCCGCCGCCGCCGATGCCGCCATCTTCCAGCGCTGGCCACCACCGCCGCCGCTGCCACCGCTCTCCCCGCCGCGGCCGTACCCCGCGCGCCTGCGCTTGCGCCCTGGAGGGGCGGGAGGGGCGGGAGGGGGGCCCAGCCCCTCACCGCCCTTCCCCACCTCCAACCTCGCCCCGCCCCGGCAGGGAGGTTCCGAGCCCGCGGCGGCCGCGGGGGCCCGGCGCCCAGGCGGTGGCTTCCGGGCGCGTTTTCCCACGCGCCGGATTGCTCGCGACCTCGGGCTGCCTCTGGATTCCTCCGAAAGGGCGCCCTCAAAATACGGAAGACGCCTCTCCCTTTGCCCTCCCTTCCCCATCACGAGGGGCTGGTGCCATCCCGAGTCCTCCTTGCTGCACGGGCCGGGATCTCCCTGGAGAGAAGAGAGTACGCGTGGACGAGGAAGGAGGTGGTGATAATGTGGCAAAAGTTAACAAGTTGCCGATTAGGTAGCGAAAATCTTGAAAACCGAGACCCCTTAAGAGGACATACAATCACTTCAGGGATGCTTCTTAGCTCTGGAGGGCCTGTGAAGTCTGATGCTTTTTTTCTGTAGTATTGGAGGTGGGTTGGAGATAGTGTCGATGTATCTCCTGCGGAACCCGATTTAACAGATATTTACTGCACACCAGGAAGCCACTCAGATACACAGGTAACTCGAGTAGACATTCCTTGTTCCCAGTCGAGTCAATATAATCCAATAATCCTCGTATTTAAAAAAAAAAAAAAGAGGGCAGTGGCATTCAAGGTGCAAGAACCGTCCCAAGAACTGTTCCTCAGGTAGCTGAAACCAGTTCTAAGCACCTTTGGGCCCCAGACCTGCCTAACTCAGCAGGAAGCACCAAAGAGACCTACCTACTGGCCAAGTTTTCCTTTCTCTGGGAACTAGGTCAGTTTTGCTTTTCGATGACTGGAGCCGTTGTTTCGCTCTCTTCCTACTTCGGAGGATTGCCGTGAAGTTTAAGTTAGACACTCTCTCACGTGGTAAGTCCCTCATAATCTTTTCCTTTCTCTCCTCTGGTTTTGGCTAATGTCAGTACCTACCTGGTCATCAGTCTCTGCCTATCCTTTCCCAAATGCTGGAACCAATTGATTTGCATCTCTAGGCTCACTCCTGCCTGGATCTCTAGGACAAACCTCATCTTAGGCAGGAAGACTATAAGTTATAGCCCAATGCTTTGGGAGTCAGCAGTAAGTCTCTTTGAATAGTCTTGACTGTGGTCCCAATTATCCATTCAGATAACAGGGCTTTTGACTGATCCTTATTTCCTGTCTCCAATTCTGGTCCTGTAGTCCTTACTTCCTATGCTTTGCCTTTTTTCCCTCTGCTTGGAAAATCCTTCTCTTTTTTTCTGGCAAGCACACTTTTTTTTTTTTTTTTGCGGTACGCGGGCCTCTCACTGCTGTGGCCTCTCCCGTTGCGGAGCACAGGCTCCGGACGTGCAGGCTCAGTGGCCATGGCTCACGGGCCCAGCCGCTCCGCGGCATGTGGGATCTTCCCGGGCCGGGGCATGAGCCCGTGTCCCCTGCATCGGCAGGCGGACTCTCAACCACTGCGCAACCAGGGAAGCCCAAGCACACTCTTATATGTCCTCCAAAAATCCATTCAAATGTCTCATTCTCTTTAAAGCCTTCCCAGGCCTATGTGCAGTTTTAGCTGGTCCGTCCCTTAACTCTGCTCCTGGTCTTCTACACGCACTTTAGATTGCATTGTATTCTATTTTGTTAACCTGTTTAATTTCATCTAAAAAACAGGGAGCTCTATCTGGAACGCCCGTATCTCACTCACTCTTTTATCTCCAATGCCTGACACAGTAAGGAAACTTAATAAATGTCTTAGAAATATGCCTGATACCCCAGTTTCTAAGACCAGCAGCCCTGCCTTGATTTTGCCAACCTCTCTCGCACTTAGGTGGTGAGATACCTGATTTTCCTAATGCCAAATTCCCCTTAGGCTATCTGAAAAAAAAAAATTCCCTTCTCTTGGATTCCTTCTTGCTGATCTCCAGCTCTGTGAAAGGACACCTCACTACTCTCCTTGATGCCAATTCCTGCATAGTCTTTAAATTCACTCATAAGACCACAGCTTTGATGTAGGTCAGTCCCAAATGCATTATCTTCAAGCTTTTTTTTCCTGAAATAATATTTTAAGTCCAATTCTCCCAGCACTCTTACGAGATAGGTCATGTTATCCCCATTTTACAAATGAAGAAATCAAGGCTCATAGAGGTTAAACACCTAACCAAGCTTTCAACTACTAAAGAGACAGGATTGAACCTAAGTCCACTTGACTAAAGTGTTTGCTTTTTCTACCATATCACATAACCTTTAATTCTGCGCTTCCTTTTGCCTGTTACATATTATTAGCATTTAGAAGTGCAAAGCAGAGCTCCGTAAGGCTAGAGTACTAGTCAGAACATAGAGACCATTATCCATTCATTCACATTACAGTGGGTTAAATAGTGTTCCCCCCGCAAAAGATATATCCAAGTCCTAATTTCCAGTACCTGCGAATGTGACATTTTTGGGGAATAGGGTCTTTGCAGATGTAATAAAGTTAAGGATCTCAAGATGCGATCACTCTGGATTTAGAGTAGGCTGTAAATGTAATGCCTGATGTCCTTATAAGAAGAGGTGAGGACAGAGACACACACATGGGAGAAGATGATGTGAAGACAGAGGCAGAGATTGGAGCCATGTGTCTACAAGGCAAGGGATGCCAAGACTTGTCACCAAAAACTAGGAGAGCAGCCTGAGACAGATTCTCCCTTAGAGGCTCCAGAAGGAACCAACCCTGCTAACTTCTAACTTTCAGAACTGTGAGAGAATCAGTTTCTGTTGTTTGAAGCCACCAAGTTTGTGATCATTTGTTATGGCAGTCCTTAGGAAACCATCCAAAAATTAAACTCAGAAACTTCCCCTCAATCTACTTTTCCTGTGTTCTCTTAGTGAATGACACCACCATCCTGTCAGAAACCTCAAAAGTCATTTTATACTATTTCTAGTGTGATCCTTCTACAGTACAAACCTGATCATGTCTCTCCTCACCCTGGTGCTTAAAGCCCTCCAATACCTTGCATGATAAAAATCAAACTCTTTATGGTGAGATATATATATATATATATATATATATATATATATATATAT